ACAAGTGGAATGTGAAAAAGATTATTTTTTGATGTATATCTGAGGTCATATCATACTCCCAGCAATATCAATAATACTTTAGATGTAAAAGAATATACTATTGACGCATCCGAAGTTGTTTGTAAATCAAAAATTAGTTTTGAAGATTATTGGCGAAATCAATTGAATTCCGACCAATGTCGCAAACTGAATACATACAAAATATTTAAAAGCAATTTCAGGTTCGAACCATATTTAGATTCAATTTCAAATGGGCATTTACGACGAAGTCTAACAAAGTTTCGTATCAGTAACCACAAATTAAAAATAGAAACGGGTAGATACGAACGCCCAAAATTAAAGATCGATGAAAGAATTTGCGAGGTTTGCAATTTAATAGAAAACGAAAAACACATAATGCGTTCATGTAAAAAATACAGTATATATAGAAAGAAAATGCTCGATAAACTTGTATCACACGGCAACCCAATTAAACACCTTTTCAACATGGAGGACGATTCACTTTTTTTCCAATATTGTATGTCTTGTGAAAATAAAGAAATTGAAATTGTAGCAGAATTTATTCATAAATGTAATATAACATAGAAGGGTGTGATATATGACATAAACAATGGACGCGTATCACAATCACCATTCATGTGCTTATCCATGATGCATATTTATTTGTTCATTTATTTACTTATTTATTTATTATGAAGTGTTAATTTTGTGTGTTGTTATATATACTGTTTTCTGTTGTATTGATATATTGTAAAATTAGTGTTTACTTTGTGTACACTTAACCTTTTATGGGTATGAATGTGTAATAAAGTTCATAAATCTATCCTTGTCATTTTGACGCAAAAAGCTACTTAAAGGAGGGCACGTTAATTTAAAAGACATCATAAAAATATAGGTAAATTTCATCCAAAATACTTGAGAGTTGGTGAGTTAACATAACTTTGGATGATCTTTCCAATGGTATATCACACTAGGCACATTCTGTTAAGGTGTTAGCTGTAGCAGGGGGGACGGGACTTATTTGACACCCTGTATATTGAGTTTTATGCTGACTGGTTGGTGCATTCTTAGTCAGATCTGTTCTTGTACATGTCTTCTTCCATTTAGGATATAAATAATGTATATTGGACAACCAATGTTGATATTAGAGCTTTCATGTCTCCCCTGCCCCATTTATAATGTAAATGAAGAAGTAATTTCAAATCATAAACTTTAACAAAATTGCAGCTATTCTCTATCAATACTATGTATTATTTAATGTAACCTTCATTTGATTACATGTGTCTAAAATTTGGCATTTTTAGCATTCTGCATTGAGCAGTAGCATATAATTTTCCACAATTATAATTATTTGATGATAGATTCATATATGTTTTCTATTGAATCTGTCTTCTTTGATTTAAGTTAAAGAAAATGTATGTAAGACAACGAATGTTTTTATTAGAGGTTTAAGATCTGCCCTCCACCATTTAATAAGAAAACCAACACAAATGTTATTATTGCATGTTAATATTCTTAAACTTTTCAAAAGTTTAGCACATTTATTTGCACACTAGAATCAAGAAATGACACACAAATGGGCAAAATGACCAATTTTTCACTTTCAGCAATAGTTGTTTATATTTTTAGTTGAATGGTGATTGTTGATATATTTTAGATCATATATATTCAATTATGTGTCTTGTTATCTTCAAAGCATGGAAAATGTGTTTTAAACACAAATGTACATATTAAAGATAAAATTACTACACTACCATATTTTTAAAAGATTACTCAAAAATAGAATAGTGCGAAATAATTTTGTAATTTCACAGTTTGTTCACAACTCTCGAACTTAATCTAGCAACAACCTGATTTTTCAAATCTCCCTGGTTCTATGTTAGAGCTCCATTTAAGTCATTTTAAAGGTCTAAGTTGCTCATGACACCACAAGCTATATATTCAGATATGTAAGATCTCTAAATAATTTTTATAGTTCTGAGAAACTCATCCTAAAATATTGTCCAACGATGTGCACTTGTGTTGTTTATTGCCACATGGACAAGTAGCAATACACCCTTGACTAGAAACTTTGTATTTGCAATTTTCTCTGCCTCTTGCCATTTTACATTTGCGAATTGCCAAGGACATATGTTTTTTGTGTTGCTACGAAGGTTTGTTTGTGAGTACTGGTACAAGACACCCATCTTTGATATATCTTCAAATAGGTATTGCACTTTGAGATTCATATAGTAATTTAGAATGCTACCTTGAAGGACATAAGAAACTTTAAGAGCTCTTTTTAACTCTCATCCTTCTTTGCAAGCAACATTCTGTATCATCAGACTGAATACAAATTCTCTCAACATTGAATTCCTTTGTCTTGTCTGCAGCACTGTAATAGACATGGCCATAAGGAGAGTGTCAACTTCTTCATTTCACAATGTTTGCATTTACCAAAATTCCCCAAGCTCAATATCCATCATGAACTTCCTAATTACACCACCCTTAGGTGTAATATGGAAATCACCAAGCCTTTGACAACATTGCAATTGATATGAGAGAATTGGAACCAATATGGCTTGATCACTGGTTATAATTATCACTATACCCCATTACATTTAAATGTATTCCAAGTGTTCTACTATACATTGCATAGATTCATGAGCAGTTTGCAACGTATTATTACCAGAAAGCCCAAATAGACAAAGATAGAGAATACCCGCCCCATTTGCAACTCAACTTTAAATGTCTAATTTTTAGACTTGTATACTCATGAAGTTCCTGAAACATCTGAAAAATATCAAATAATACATAGTATTGATCTAGAATAGCGACAACTTTGTTAAAGTCTATACTTTGATATTGTTTGGTTTTTATATTTCTGGTTATTTTTTCAAAATAAATGGGGTAGGGGAGATATGTAAGCTCTAATACAATGTCAGGCTCTCCAATATACATGTTTAAATACTTTCAATCAAAGAAGGCAGGCAAAAGAACAGATTTGTTCAAGAATCCATCAACCAATCAGCATAAAACTCAAGATAAAAGGAAATACAGTAATGTTATTGCTAAAAGTGAAAATGATGAAAAATGCCAAATTTTGTTCTTAAATGTCTAATTTCTAGACACTAGTATATTAATGAAGGTCCTGAAACATTAATTATACCATTCAATAACACATAAGGAATGGCTACATCTTTGTTAAAGTTTATACTGGTAATTTGAAGTTATTTTTTATATTTTCCGGTCATCTTCCCTAATAAATGGGGTAGGGGAGATCTGAAAGCTCTAATATGAACATTGTTTGTCCACTATACATTATCAATCCCTTAAATGGAAGAAGACATGTACAAGAACAGATTTAATCAAAAATGCATCAACCAGTCAGCATAAAACTCAAGATATAAGGATTTATATGTTATTACTGAAAGCAGCATTGATTAAAAAATGCCAAGTTTTGTCCTTAAATGTCTCATTTCTAGCCACTTGAATACCAATAAAGGTTTTTAAAAATCTTAAAAACATAAAATAACACATAATATTGATATAGAACAGCTACAACTTTGTTAAAGTTTATAATGTCAAGTTATTTTACATTTTCATATTTCTCGTTTATTTTCCATAATAGATGGGGTAGGGGATATCTGAAAGCTCTTATATGAACATTGTTTGTCCACTATACATTTTCTTTATCTTAAATGGAAGAAGACATGCACAAGAACAGATTTGATTGAAAATGGAACAATCAGACAGCATAAAACTCAGGATATGAGGAACTATATATTACTGCTGAAAGCGAAAATGATAAAAAAAAATGCAAAGTTTTGTCCTTAAATGTCTCATTTCTAGGCACTTGTATACCGATAAAGGTTCTGAAATATCTTAAAAACATTAAATAACACATAATATTGATATAGAATAGCTACAACTTTGTTAAAGTTTATAATGTCAAGTTATTTTATTTTTTCATATTTTTGGGTAATTTTGCATAATAAATGGGGTAGGGGAGATCTGAACGCTCTCATATGAACATTGGTTGTCCACTATTCATTTTCTATAACTTAAATGGAAGAACACATGTACAAGCACACATTTAATCAAAATTGCGACAACCAGTCAGCATTAAACTCAAGATATAAGGAACTATATGTTAATGCTGAAAGAGAAAATGATTAAAAAATGCCAAATTTTGTCCTTAAATGTCACATTTCTAGACACAAGTACACTACTGAAGGTCCTGAAACATCTGAGAAACCTTACATAACACATAATATTGATATAGAATAGCTACAACTTTGTTTGAGTTGAACATTTTGACTTTTTGTAGTTTCCATTTTTAGCCAATTCTTTTCTATAATATTCAAGGTATGTCTTCTTCCGACCAGTATTTAGATATGTTCGCAAGAGTTATATGCTTCGCAGGCGAAATCCCTTATGCAGGACACCCTAATAGAATAAAAAATACACAGAAATTCCATCCAGCTCAAAAAGTCATTTTTTCCTTAACGGAGCCTCTTAGAAAATTTTCCACCCCGAGTACTAATGTAAACACGGCGGTATACGTAGCCCGATTTATCGGGGACTTTAACTTTTATCACCCCGAACTCAAACATTTCGATTACTTATTTCGCGAACTCTTTGGTAAGAATGGATTCGAGATGTAATCAAAATTGATACGTTAAAATGTGTATTTTCATCTTAATAACCACCTCACAAATTATTTTGGAAATCAAAGATGTACGATTTTTGAGATTTTTATTTTCGAATGTCAGAATGTTGACTTAGTTACTGAACCTGACTAAGTGTGTATTTTCTGTTTGATAAGAGTAGTTCAGAGTAAAACGGCATATCGTTCAGACGTTCAAGTTCAGTCCAAAAGTCAAAATGTATATTATTGCTGCAGGGACCAATTCAACATCATAGTCGTTTTCCCCTCCATGAAAGGGTACGATTTTCGCCACTATTGTTAGTCTGCACACCAAGTGCTGCTGCAAGCAAAGAAGTGCGCGAATAACAGTACAACGGAACAGAATGGCGGATGATACATTTGGAATTCCTATTATTGATTTCGGTATTTATGGCCTTCAAAACGATGAAAGTGGACCTTTGAGTGATGGTCAGTTGCACGATTTAGCTTCAGCGGTATATAGAGCATGTACCGAGGTGGGATTCTTGTACCTAAAAAATCATGGTGTTGATATGCAACAGGTAAAGTGTTAATTTCTGGGTTTATATTAAAATTAAATCAAGAAAGAGTAATACAGAATTGGTTGAAGACAGGAGAGATTCCCATAGCGACCATTATAACGTTTTACCCTAGTATACAGTTGTAAAGTATCCATGCTTGGTGCTACATGCTACAGTGGTTGAGAGAGACTTATCTAGCTTCCTGATACAATGTTGCCATGAGCTGTTATCTACAGAAATTTTCAAGGGGATAAATGAACGAACTTGAAGACAACAATCCCTTCCTCAATTTTCTGATTTGGAACACAAATAAATATAAGTCTGCTTAGAGTAATCTCCTCAAATCGCCCCGCAATTTAATAGTTTGAAAATACGTATATCATTTTTACCTGGAAATGTTTTCTGATAGATCAATTCCTGTCCTTTGAAATAGATCCTCAATCAATCCGTTTAACACAAAACCTGCGCTGGGCTCTACCAGTGCAGAAAGAGGGAAATGTGTTTTATATGCGCAAAACCCGCATCAACATTCGGAATATTGTTTTCCTTTGCATTGCGATCTAACTATAACTGGCCTTAGCTACATAAATAATAACAGGCTGAATTAGGTAGCCCTGTAAATGTGGACGGTGTTCGGTCGGTGTCTGTAACAAATGGCAGGTCGTGAAATTTTGCATTTTAATGCCTTGTTTTACATACATATATTGTTATAATAGGTAGAGAAAATGCGAGGTGTATCGAAGGCATTCTTCCTACTCCCAGAGGAAACTAAGAAACGTTACGCTCGAGTAGACGGCAATGACTTTGGTTATATTGCTAAAGAAGTTGAGCGGTAAATTGCTTCCAACAAATAGCCAAATGAAACGATTTACAATATATGTTGCCCTGTCTTCGTATGAGTGTAGCCCCACGGACTCCCAGGGGAATATCCTGATCAACTAGAATAGTATAGAAATCTTAAGACTACATTCTCAGACCGTTCATTTGTTTAGTTTTGGCATGTACTAATTACTATAAACTGGCTAGTAATGGCTTGTATCTGCTGTATCTTTTTTCAGACTTAATCCTGAAAGAGAAGCTGGTGACCTGAAGGAGGCCTTCAATATAACTCCTAACAATGCTAAAGCCAAGGTGAATGGATTGTACATCATACTAACTAACATCATATTCTTCCTATTCGCACATTTGGTTTTGGGATTATAGTAGTGATAGTTCAAGCCCGTAGCCCCCCCACTGGCCAAAAATTCTTTCAAATCCCCTGTAGTCTATGTATTTTAACTCACTGTCACAGGATGTAAGCCTATATAACTTAGCTCAAGACTCAAAAATGTAATCTTACTTTAAATGTCAGGTTTAAAAACTTAAAAAAGCTTAAAATTCTTTGTTTGAATGTCCCTCCTCGCTAGATATGTTTTATCGCATATGTATTCTGAAAGTACTGTATATATTTATAGTATAATGTGATAATTTGATTTTTGAGTGCTCAGTATAGTTAATAAACATGTATGTACATTTATGTAAAAGTATCATGTTATTATGTTAAATTCACAAACTTACATAGCATTATTTTATAGGAAACAAACAAATATATGTATATGTTATAATGAATATTTATCATTTAATATAAATATATACAAACATGTTGGCATCTGGGCATCTCATGAATTGACTGTGACACTCTCTTGCGTATGAAGTCGCTTCGTTTGCGACATGTGAATGAACGTTGAATTCTCCTTCATAGCAAATGAAATCAGTAGCCCCATAATGTGGATGGTGCTATATTTGAAAGCACCATAATGTGGATGGTGCGGCGTTAGTCTGAAAGCGCCATAATGTGGATGGTGCTTAGGTCTGTAAGCCCCATAATGTGGATGGTGCTTGGTTCGGAATGCACCATAATGTGAATGGTGCTAGTCTGGGAGCGCCATAATGTGGATGGTTCTCGAGTCTGAAAGCGCCATAATGTGGATGGTGCTTGAGCGATTGCGCCATAATGTGGATGGCACAACTGTTTGAAGCGCCATAATGTGGATGGTGCTCGAACAGTTAGATTCCATAATGTAATGGAATTGACGATTGCCATGAAGGAGATACGAAAAGTATGTGATTGAATAAGAATGCAATGAACATATGAATTTGAACCTTGGGAATGGAACGAACGCAAGTAAGTGACACAGCCAAGTCTTGTAGACGCCTATAACGTTAGTGTACAATTACAAATAATTATATCTTTAAGACTTTAAGATATCTTAAGATTGTTCATTTATGAGAAAGGAGGTGGTTGGGGAGGTTGGTGGATAGCTATGGATAAATTGATGTTCGCTGGTCGCTAGGTTCAATCGAATAGAACGACTGTATCGTGTGTGCAACGGATAGAGTCACGTTCATCCATCCGAATGATTGACGTGAAGGCGGGGCATGAGAATCAGTATGAATATTTTTCAAGCTTCCTATAAACGATGCTTAACAATATTAAGCAACCATTTATAGGAAACAAACAAATATATGTATATGTTATAATGAATATTTATCATTTAATATAAATATATACAAACATGTTGGCATCTGGGCATCTCATGAATTGACTGTGACACTCTCTTGCGTATGAAGTCGCTTCGTTTGCGACATGTGAATGAACGTTGAATTCTCCTTCATAGCAAATGAAATCAGTAGCCCCATAATGTGGATGGTGCTATATTTGAAAGCACCATAATGTGGATGGTGCGGCGTTAGTCTGAAAGCGCCATAATGTGGATGGTGCTTAGGTCTGTAAGCCCCATAATGTGGATGGTGCTTGGTTCGGAATGCACCATAATGTGAATGGTGCTAGTCTGGGAGCGCCATAATGTGGATGGTTCTCGAGTCTGAAAGCGCCATAATGTGGATGGTGCTTGAGCGATTGCGCCATAATGTGGATGGCACAACTGTTTGAAGCGCCATAATGTGGATGGTGCTCGAACAGTTAGATTCCATAATGTAATGGAATTGACGATTGCCATGAAGGAGATACGAAAAGTATGTGATTGAATAAGAATGCAATGAACATATGAATTTGAACCTTGGGAATGGAACGAACGCAAGTAAGTGACACAGCCAAATCATGGTAGCATGGGTGCTACTATGAGAAACCCCAAGGTAGCATTATCTTATCAGTTGGTTGAACTTATAACTTCTACGTGGTTGCGATATGTACCGTTATATATGTTTTAGAGAGTCGATCAATAAAAAATATGTATATATTTACGAAATTAAGCAAAATACATTTGTTAAGCTTAAAACCACAACCGTATATTATAGTATATATGTATAATGATTTATTTTTATACGACAACAGCAACCTGGGATAGCTGTTCTCTATAATTTCTACCGGAATTTCTATTTCTATTTGAAAAAATAAAATGCACAAGTATCATTACATGTATTTCGATGTAATGAATTTGATAACTTTGACATATTGTTGGTTGACATCATGTCACAAAAAGCCAATGTTAGGAAGGGGAAGAACTAGTGGCTGCTCATTCTCTTGAATATTGACACACATATTGCAGTATAATAAGCCAATGTAGTCTTACAGGGTGTGTTATAATGACCGTCCCCCCATCAATCGCCAATCCTAAATAGCATACCACCATATGTTATATATCATATGAAAGCTTGTTCAATACTGGGCTTATTTAAATAACTTTGAATAGGCTCAACACTCTTTACAACTTGCTTCATACCTCTACAAAAGATACCCATTTCACCTTAGGCATAGAATCTGAAAGCTGTATCTTTTCCAAAATTAGCCATGTACCATGCAAACAGCAATGGTAACCATGCCTCAATACACTATTATCTATAGTGACGTACAACTCATAACATTTGATGGATGCTGAGGATACATCCTGGTGATATTTGAAAGACAAAAGTATAAAATAGAAAGAAATACCAAGAGACTTCTAAGTGATTCAATGGATTATGTAGCAATATGCTCCTCCCTTTAAATTTATTAGGAATGGTACCCACCACAAATCACACAAACTGAGGGTATAGTGACAATCAAACATAAATTTTACAAATTATGTTCCCAATGACCAGCTATGATAAAAGTTGGCACATAACTCCAGAATTGAATAACCTTTATTATGGTATATAGATTATGGGGCCACATGATCTCGGATTGGTTGTGGATGGGGGACGGTCATTATGAAACACCTTGTACAAGGGATGTGTATTAGTCTAGCTACAAGCCTTTGTGACACAGTTGTTATAGTAGATAGCCCGGGGTCTCGAGGCAAGACTAATTTGCAACAGCTACTGCCGTACGCATCGTTCTGTGCTAAATAGATAACAGCGCAACATCGAATTTAAAAAATACAATACGACGCGGAGGAGCTATGAATGGTTTTTGATTTAAGTAGGTTATATTGTACTGTTTCCTACATTTTAAGAAATGGCCCGAAGAAGAGATCCCTGGATTTGAAGATGAGGTAATGACGTTATTCAACCAGTGCAACAAGCTATCAATGAGGATATTGGAAGTTATGGCCATTGGATTAAAACTGGTAAGGCATTCTTTGAATCAGACCTCTCTAATTAATTCTTTCTCTTTCTATAAAGTAGTCCCCGAGCTTAGCACTGCGATTTAAAGGGTGACGCATATCGTTTAGCAAATCGAACGCTCGTTTCTGGTGTTGCTCACCATTTAGTATAAAAGGCTCGATCCCGGAATAATACTCAAGGGTTCAAAGGCTCGAGGTCGTTGTGTCAACACCTCTAACTTTTATATAACATTGGTACAGTTTAGATCGTCACACATTTATAAAAGGGAGATTTTCATTTTAACAAATATACGGGAAGCTTATCGGAACCCTTTAAGTTGAACAAATTCTAAACTGCCATTTGGGTTGAATTGAAATTTCTTGGGACGAGCACATTTTTCTTTTTCCGAGCATTCTCTGTTTCGATAAGGATGTAAAACAAATTATGACCCCCCCCCCCCCTAGACATGCCTCATACCATGACCCTGATTGAGTAATAGAGTTGTAATTGGGTTACTCTAGTGATTCAATGGATCATTGAGAGAGACTTATATCATATAAGTTATATGTACTATTACCTGATGATATATATTGTGAAAATTCTAAACATTAGGATCGAGATGCATTCACAAAGTACCACACTCCCAATAACATATGCGCCACTACGATGAGATCTCTTTACTACAATACTCTCCGAGAGGACTTCATCCCAAAGGCGGGCCAGGTGAGATGCGGGGAGCACTCGGACTATGGCTCGATTACATTGCTGTTCCAGGACGACGTCGGGGGACTCGAGGTAGATATTTATATGTGATTCATCCTGTAATATTACTGCATTGTAAACATGAATCCTATAAATTGGAAATAACATGGCATTATTAAATTTTGTTCAATTTTTGGACTTTTAAATAAATACGTTTGGAAAACGTTGTCATCATGATACACAGTATGAATCGATACACCACTCTTGTTCTTTGAACTATACATATTTCGTCAAATATCATGAATGGAATGTCGCAATTAACGGTGTCGTTGATTATTCAGGTTGCAGATCGTTCTGGGCGATATATGGCAGCGACACCTATCGACGGTACAATAGTTGTAAACATAGGTGATCTCATGCAGCGTTGGACTTCTGATACTTTTATCTCAACTGTAAGTTTTTTCAAATAAAAACAAATATAATTTTTAGGTATTGTCGGCCTTATCCTTATGTATATAAACAAACTCATTCTTCTTTTAACTTTCAGAAACATCGAGTGCTAATACCCAAAGAAGAGCTTCACAAAAAGGAAAAGATGGCGCGTCAATCAATAGCTTTTTTCGTGCACCCCGATGATGACGCCATGATCACGTGTATAGATGGCTCTGAGAAGTATGAACCAATCACCGCAGGAGATTATTTACAAATGCGATTCAGAGATAGCTATGGTGATAAAAATAAACAATCAAGGGAAAAGTGGAAATAAAACAAACGTTTGTATGTTGACAGTTATTACAGGAGCAATATTTTCAGGGATGTACAGTCATGGGCTGAGCCCATGGTACAGTACAGTACCTTCCTAGATAATATGATCAGTAAAATCAATTGCAGATCATAATCATTTTTTGAATTTCCTTTTACGTAACCAAAGTATATGTTATACTTGATATACGTTTGTGATAAAAGTGTTGTGGATCACCAGTGAACCTGAAATTCCTGGAAAACTGGAAAAAATTAATGGTACAACATGTAAGCAAATGCAAATTCATTAAATTGAAAGAAATTGGGAAAATAGACCCTTAGGATGCAATGTCTGTACAGAGGAATATTTCCCCATACAAAAGTACTAAAATTGCACCCGGCAGATTTGAATGCACTATACTGAAGAGTTACAAATACTGCATGATTCCAAAATTACCATAAGTTAAAATATTGCAGGACTAAATCTTTATGTTTTGATAAGGTATACTCAAAGAATTGAAACGTTAATTGATTTTTGTTTGTTTACCAAAACGTTGTTGTCTTCCACACTAGTACCCTCCCTCCCCCCTTGGGTCGGCCCAAAAACAATTAGTGGGCCTTTTTATCAAATAATAAATGATAATTTCTGGTACATGGTACTTCAATTACAAATTCCGAGTCTAACAAATGTTAATATAGTTTCTCTCCCTGGATCATATCAATTATGCCGGTGTAAAAAGGGTAGGAGGTCCTATCAAATTATGGTCCTACTTTCCATTGATTTATATGGTGACCTAAATACAACTCTTTCCGTTATTATCGTATCCACAATCAGGGCCAGTAAAGGCCTTTAAGAAAGGGGACCATAATTTCTTTAACACCTACTTGATACCTGTGTCCATGTATGTGATATGATTCAGCTCAACGAAACCCACCCTGAAGTTCACAATGCTTCTCCTCTATGTCGATAGACCAAGCCCATGAACAAATTGTATGATCAAAAGTGAGGTTGGAGTTGTGGGGTTATTTGACAATCCGATGGCATTATAGAAATGAATGGTTGATGGTCCAGAGTTGGCAAGAATGTTAACTGAGTTTGAGGATGAGATGAAGGATAATGATGGCGAAGTCCCTGCAAACCATGTCAGTAAAGAGACGACAACTTTGATGAATTTTTCCAACATCCCTCCATCGCATTCACAAGATGGCATAATCAAGGTTGGACTCAAAGCAGATTCTTAGAACCAATGGAAGACCGTATTCCAAATGGAGAGATCACTGTACCAGATGTTGATTGAATCCATGTTTCTTGATGGTGCAGTAATAGTCCACCTGCTGAAAACATAAGAAGCAAGAACCTTTCCACAGTACTCGAATGACATAGTAAGTATATTGCAGATCAACTAATTAATAGAGTGCAGGGATTTGATATTGTATGAGATTAATATGAATATATAACAAAATAGTCTCAAATGCTCAACTAGAGAAAAACGGGGATTTTGAAAACATCGTCTAGTTTATCAAGAAAACAAATTGCCAGAATTTCTACGCTCATTGAAAGGTACATGCAGATTTTAGCAATATTTCATGATAAAAGGCAAAATATTGTGAAAAACACAGGTTGACACGCTGACATTAGAAGACTCATGTTTAAAAGAAAACGAGATTGAACATAAATTATTGACCCAGTTACTAATTTATCATGGAATCACTAAGGAAAACATTACTAATGACTTAAATCGTTAACATTATGTTGTATTCCAAGAAAATTTTAAATGCAAAATGTCTTTTTGTTTAATTATAAAAATGGCACCTGTAAATAACTGTGATATAAAATTAAATTATGTAAGTAAGTCGTTGTGAAAATTAAATCACAATGTGTTTATGCAATCAAATAGGCTTATGAATAGTAAGGCCAATTAACAGAGGTAAAAACAGATACAAAGTGCACATAAGTCAGTTGAGAAAAATTACGCTGAGAGTAAACAGGCAATAATATGCAGAGATGAGATGAGTTTGGAAGAAATGAGATAACTAGATATGAGATAATTAGAAATGAGAAACAATAACAACGTTTACAAAATTGTTTATGACAGATATATTTATTTATGTTACATTCGTTGGCACGTGTCAGTGAGTAAATAAGAAGAATATGCTTTTGATTCTATATCATGTTCTTAAAGGAATTTGTTAACTTCTATCACCCCGAACTCAAACATTTCGATTACAGTACTTATTTCGCGAACTCTTTGGTAAGAATGGATTCGAGATGTAATCAAAATTGATACGTTAAAATGTGTATTTTCATCTTAATAACCACCTCACAAATTATTTTGGAAATCAAAGATGTACGATTTTTGAGATTTTTATTTTCGAATGTCAGAATGTTGACTTAGTTACTGAACCTGACTAAGTGTGTATTTTCTGTTTGATAAGAGTAGTTCAGAGTATAATGGCATATCGTTCAGACGTTCAAGTTCAGTCCAAAAGTCAATTATAATACAAAATGTATATTATTGCTGCAGGGACCAATTCAACATCATAGTTGTTTTCCCCTCCATGAAAGGGTACGATTTTCGCCACTATTGTTAGTCTGCACACCAAGTGCTGCTGTAAGCAAAGAAGTGCGCGAATAACAGTACAACGGAACAGAATGGCGGATGATACATTTGGAATTCCTATTATTGATTTTGGTATTTATGGCCTTCAGAACGATGAAAGTGGATTGAGTGATGGTCAGTTGCACGATTTAGCTTCAGCTGTATATAGAGCATGTACCGAGGTGGGATTCTTGTACCTAAAAAATCATGGTGTTGATATGCAACAGGTAAAGTGTTAATTTCCGGGTATATATCAAAATTAAATCAAGAAAGAGTAATACAGAAGGTTGAAGACAGGAGAGATTCCCATAGCGACCATTATAACGTTTTACCCTAGTATACAGTTGTAAAGTATCCATGCTTGGTGCTACATGCTACAGTGGTTGAGAGAGACTTATCTAGCTTCCTGATACAATGTTGCCATGAGCTGTTATCTACAGAAATTTTCAAGGGGATAAATGAACGAACTTGAAGACAACAATCCCTTCCTCAATTTTTCTGATTTGGAACACAAATAAATATAAGTCTGCTTAGAGTAATCTACTCAAATCGCCCCGCAATTTAATAATTTGAAAATATATCATTTTTACCTGGAAATGTTTTCTGATAGATCAATTCCTGTCCTTTAAAATTGATCCTCAATCAATCCGTTTAACACAAAACCTGCGCTGGGCTCCTCCAGTGCAGAAAGAGGGAAATGTGTTTTATTTGCGCAAAACCCGCATCAACATTCGGAATATTGTTTTCCTTTGCATTGCGATCTAACTATAACTGGCCTTAGCTACATAAATAATAGGCTGAATTAGGTAGCCCTGTAAATGTGGACGTTGTTAGGTCGGTGTCTGTAACAAATGGCAGGTCGTGACATTTTGCATTTTAATGCCTTGTTTTATATACATATATTGTTATAATAGGTAGAGAAAGTGCGAGGTGTATCCAAGGCATTCTTCCTACTCCCAGAGGAAACTAAGAAACGTTACGCTCGAGTAAACGGCAATGACTTTGGTTATATTGCTAAAGAAGTTGAACGGTAAATTGCTTCCAACAAATAGCCTAATGAAACGATTTACAATTGTTCCCCTGTCTTCGTATGAGTATAGCCCCACGGACTTCCAGGGGAACATCCTGATCAACTAGAATAGTATAGAAATCTTAAGACTACATTCTCAGACCGTTCATTTGTTTAGTTTTGGCATGTACTAACTACTAAGTACTATAAACTGGCTAGTAATGGCTTGTATATGCTGTATCTTTTTTCAGACTTAATCCTGAAAGAGAAGCTGGTGACCTGAAGGAGGCCTTCAATATAACTCCTAACAATGCTAAAGCCAAGGTGAATGGATTGTACATCATACTAACTAACATCATATTCTTCCTATTCGCACAGTTGGTTTTGGGATTATAGTAGTGATAGTTCAAGCCCGCAGACCCCCCCCCACTGGCCAAAAATTCTTTCAAACCCCCTGTAGTCTATCTTACTTTAAATGTCAGGTTTAAAAAACTTAAAAAAGCTTAAAATTCTTTGTTTGAATGTCCATCCTCGCTAGATATGTTTTATCGCATATTTATTCTGAAAGTACTGTATATTTATATTTATAGTATAATGTGATAATTTGATTTTTGAGTGCTCAGTATAGTTAATAAACATGTATGTACATTTATGTAAAAGTATCATGTTATAATGTTAAATTCACAAACTTAATTTGCATTATCTTATCAGTTGGTTGAACTTATAACTTCTACGTGGTTGCGATATGTACCGTTATATATGTTTTAGAGAGTCGATCAATAAAAGATATGTATATATTTACGAAATTAAGCAAAATACATTTGTTAAACTTAAAACCACAACCGTATATTATAGTATATATGTATAATGATTTATTTTTATACGACAACAGCAACCTGGGATAGCTGTTGTCTATAATTTCTACCGGAATTTCTATTTCTATTTGAAAAAATAAAATGCACAAGTATCATTACATGTATTTCGATGTAATGAATTTGATAACTTTGACATATTGTTGGTTGACATCATGTCACAAAAAGCCAATGTTAGATGGGGAAGAACCCGGGGGAAGAACTAGCGGCTGCTCATTCTCTTGAATATTGACACACGTATTGCAGTATAATAAGCCAATGTACAGGGTGTGTCATAATGACCGTCCCCCCATCAACCGCCAATCCTAAATAGCATACCACCATATGTTATATATCATATGAAAGCTTGTTCAATACTGGGCTTATTTAAATAACTTTGAATAGGCTCAACACTCTTTACAACTTGCTTCATACCTCTACAAAAGGTACCCATTTTACCTTAGGCATAGAATCTGAAAGCTGTATCTTTTCCAAAATTAGCCATGTACCATGCAAACAGCTATGGTAACCATGCCTCAATACACTATTATCTACAGTGACGTACAACTTATAACATTTGATGGATGCTGAGGATATATCCTGGTGATATTTGAAAGACAAAAGTATAAAATAGAAAGAAATACCAAGAGACTTCTAAGTGATTTAATGGATTATATAGCAATATCACTGGGGGGTATCGTGATGCAACAACACCGTGTTGTTGCATCAAGATGGCCAGACTTCCGGTGATAGATTTTCGTACGATATTTTGTTTCCCCAATTAAACCCATTTCTAGGACGAGTTGCTCAATAACCATACACGTGCAGTTAGCACACGATCTATATTTAAAGAAACTGTCATTAGTATACATGTACCATCACCAAGAAGCAATAAGTTAACGGTTTTAGTTCCTCACTATTGATGCAACAACACCAAACCGAAGATGCAACAACACTCCTCTAGATTTGAGCAATGATGCAGCAACACCAATTAAAAGTCTAATTTCAGAAGACCATAGATCTCGAGAGGAACAGATTTTAAATGCTACCATTGCAACACCGTTACCCATTACCCATATTTGCGTTCTTCTCAAGGCATTCAAAATACACGTCCTGCGGGCGAAGATCCTTTATATGTATTTTCAAAAATTTATACTTTTAAAAATTATAATGTACTGGACGTTGTTCTATAACATAGTTCAATCGCCTTTAACATGGCAAGCTTTAGCAACCCAATCTATTTTCATAAACCACTGTTCCATAGCTTAATGACCCTGACTCCAGTTAGTATCATTCAAAATGGTGGACAAACATCTTTCGTTCTCGGTAAACTTGACGAGCTATTGGAAATTATCTGTCATCCATCTGTGGAACAGTGATAAACTAGTAGATGTACGTTACCACTGTTTATCAAATTATAACTAAAACAGTTTAACGGTGACATTCGTGAGCTTATGTTGATGGGATGATTGCTTCATCTATGATATAATATGATATGATTCTTTATTTCCTCCAATTTGGAGAGCCAACGTGTAAAAACGTCTAATTGACTTATGTAGAATTATTGCTCTCTTTGGATTCCTTCTCTCCGACTGAGTAAAAAGGAAAACAAAAGTGATAAGATTAAGGGCCCGAAAAGGTAAATTGATAGGGGTACAGTTATCCCAGATATCCCGGGCCCTCGGGAAATATCATATTGTCTCTCGGAATAAAACCGATATTGAATCCCTCTCAGTAAATAACGTTTATATAATAGCATTGTATAACTGCAATATCATTAAACCAACACTCATCCTTTACATCTCTTGAGAACGATGTACAACTCCTGGATAGCGTAAACTCCTGAGCAGCGTATACAACTCTTCAACTTGATATATGACATCATACTTTGGGTGGGATAACAAAGGATATACAATATACAATTGTTGACCTCTCCAGAGGTCAACCGGCAAAATTGTATACCGAGACTGTAAACCGAGAAACTACTGTTGACAGAGACCGAAGTAGTACAGTAACATACGCGGTCAATAATATGATATCCCATGATGCACAGGTGGGGTACAGGCAAAAATGTTGACCGCCAATTGACCAATCAGATGCGAGTATTTACACTGAGGTACTAACAATACATTTTGTTGACCGCTCATCAACCAATCAGAATTGAGTATTTCAATTGAGGTACTAACATGACTAACAACACAAAATGACGTTGTCTTTCCAAAATCATATTAGTTATTTGTAAACAATTTCCATATGGCAAATCAAGGGCATTTAATTTAGAAAATGTATAATCTTTATTTTTCAGATACAATATCAATGAGATTGCCTCCCGGGGATTTAGTACTTTATTTAGTTTGCCTTGTATATCCTTTTAACTTTGATATAGACAAAGAAACCAAACAAAATACGTTTCGTCCATGGACCACTGACTCACGCGTTTTATTCATGTCCCGACCTACACCTGTAAACAGAACATAAAACAGTTTCTCTTGTTGTTCAATGATACATTATATTGGCGTTTTTGCATCAGCACATTGGTGTTGTTGCATCATCGATAAGAAACAGAGTGGTGTTGTTGCATCAATAGTGAGGAATCAAAACCACGAATTTATCGCTTCTTGATGATGCTACATGTATACCACTGACAGTTTTTTAAAATATAGATCATGCGCTAACTGCATGTGTATGATTATTGAGCAACTCGTCCTAGAAATGGGTGTAAATTGGGAAAACAAAACATCGTACGAAAATCTATCACCGGAAGTCTGGCCATCTTGATGCAACAACACGGTGTTGTTGCATCACGATACCCCCCAGTGAATATGCTCCTCTCTTTAAATCTATTAGGAATGGTACCCACCACAAATCACACAAACTGGGGGTAAAGTGACAATCAAACATAAGTTTTACAAATTATGTTCCCAATGACCAGCTATGATAAAAATTGGCACATAACTCCAGAATTGAATAACCTTTATTATGGTACACTAGTATAGATTATGGGGCCACATGATCTCGGATTGGTTGTGGATGGGGGGACGGTCATTATGAAACACCTTGTACAAGGGATGTGTATTAGTCTAGCTACAAGCCTTTGTGACACAGTTGTTATAGTAGATAGCCCGGGGTCTCGAGGCAAGACTAATGTGCAACAGCTACTGCCGTACGCATCTTTCAGTGCTAAATAGATAACAGCGCAACATCGAATTTAAAAAATACAATACGACGCGGAGGAGCTATGAATGGTATTTGATTTAATAAGTAGGTAATATTGTACTGTTTCCTATATTTTAAGAAATGGCCCGAAGAAGAGATCCCTGGATTCAAAGATGAGGTTATGACGTTATTCAACCAGTGCAACAAGCTATCAATAAGGATATTGGAAGTTATGGCCATTGGATTAAAACTGGTAAGGCATTCTTTGAATCAGACCTCTCTAATTAATTCTTTCTCTTTCTATATAGTAGTCCCCAAGCTTAGCACTGCGATTTAAGTTTAACAAATTCTAAACTGCCATTTGGGTTGAATTGAAATTTTTTGGGGCGTCCCATATTTTAATTTTTCCGAGCATTCTCTCTGTTTCGATATGTACCAGGTCGTTCAATAAGTTCCCGGAAAAACGCTCTCATTTTTTTAGTTTGTGGTATTTTTTATTGAAATTTTCACAGTATGTGTAAAATATATTTAGAATTTATGTATAGAAATATTTGTATACAATATTTCATATTTATTAACTTATCCTTGATAACGTGACGTCATAAATGGGTATGCGGGGCACTATTTTGATGTTAAAATTACACAATTTTCAATTTATTCATCATATGTTCACATTTTTTGTATTTGTTTTATTTCAACTGAATAAACAGTCCTATTGCCATGGTAACTATGTGACATCATATTACTGCTGTATGTAAAACAATTTATGCCCCCCCCCCCTAGACACACCTCATACCATGTCCCTGATTGAGTAAAAGAGTTGTAATTAGGTCACTCTAGTGATTCAATGGATCATTGAGAGGGACATATATGTACTATAACCTGATGATATATATTGTGAAATTACTGAACATTAGGATCGAGATGCTTTCACAAAGTACCACACTCCCAATAACATATGCGCCACTACGATGAGATCTCTTTACTACAATACTCTCCAAGAGGACTTCATCCCAAAGGCGGGCCAGGTGAGATGCGGGGAGCACTCGGACTATGGCTCGATAACATTGCTGTTCCAGGACGACGTCGGGGGACTCGAGGTAGATATTTATATGTGATTCATCCTGTAATATTACTGCATTGTAAACATGAATCCTATAAATTGGAAATAACATGGTATTACGTTTGGAAAACGTTGTCATCATGATACACAGTATGAATCGATATACCATTCTTGTTCTTTGAACTATACATATTTTGTCAAATATAATGAATTGAATGTCACAATGGTGTCCTTGTTTTTCAGGTTGCAGATCGTTCCGGGCAATATGTGGCAGCGACACCCATTGATGGTACCATAATTGTGAACATAGGAGATCTCATGCAGCGTTGGACTTCTGATACTTTTATCTCAACTGTAAGTTTTTCAAATAAAAACAATATAGATTTTTGGGCATTGTCGGCCTAGTCCTTATGTGTATAAACAAACTCATTCTTCTTTTAACTTTCAGAAACATCGGGTGCTAATACCCAAAGAAGAGCTTCACAAAAAGGAAAAGATGGCGCGTCAATCAATAGCCTTTTTCGTGCACCCCGAAGAAGACGCCATGATCTCGTGTATAGATGGCTCTGAGAAATATGAACAAATCACCGCAGGAGATTATTTACAAATGCGATTCAAAGATAGCTATGGTGATAAAAATAAAAAATCAAGGGTAACGTGGAAATAAAACAAACGTTTGGATGTCGACAGTTATCACACGAGCAATATTTTCAGGCATTTACAGTACCTTCCCAGATAATATGATCCATAAAATCACAAGATTCAATAAAAAAAAAACTGCAGATTTAGCAGCTAATTTCTGGTTAATTTGTAATGATGTATTTCTGTTTTGAATAAAAAAAATATAAAATAATAGCTGATCAAACTGAACCTATGTTTTTCTGTTATAAGAGCAAATGAGCAACAGTAAAAACATACAGGTATTTCATGCAAGGTCATTCTCACATAAATAGGTCAAGGTCACAAAAGATCAAACTGTTCCAGTTTTAAGGTTATTCGGTCCATCTTATTCCAGAAGTGATACATAATATTTGATCAAACATACACATTTTGTAATATTCCGATCATTGAAATTGTCTATATTGCTAGATAAAAACAATATGGAATTGTGCACTGAAAGCCCAAAACTGCTAATACAGGGTGATCATTAAGTTCTGGGAATTGGTCTGCCATTTCAAGATTTCCCAACCATTTGAGTTGAAATTTTTAGCAGGTGTACATTGTACATTGTTGACTAAACTGTCATATTTCAGTGATTTGTAGGACAAGTGGTGGAAATTTTCAAATATTTCAACTTTAACTTTGGGTTCACAGGGTCAAGGTCACTTGCCGATGGCAAGTTTTGTCATTTGTTTTCCTGGGAAATCCACCCTGTTTAATATGTTTTATCGATAATCTAGTGAGATATGCACAAAATAGGTAGTATTTGCTCTTTATTGTTAGTTTACACTTGTAAAACGGTCCGGTAAAATATAAGTTTTCATGTAAATGCTACTACATGTAGTTGAACTATAATATGGATGCTATTGATTGATGAATGTTCAAGGGTGTAATATTTGTGCTCTATTTTGCAAATATTGTCATATTTTAAATGGAAGTGTTCCCATTGCCAAAACATGACATGCACAGTCATCCTTAGCAGTGAGCTCCCCAAATACTTCTATCTCGCACAATGTCAGTGTTTTTCCAGATCCGGCCATTTGCAGCTTTAAGTAGCGACCAAGCACGATGTTCTCGCAGCAGAGAGTTTCTGATCTCCCTTGAGGTGTTCTGGTGAAGGAGGTACATCGTTCCCATAACCCCATTGGTGCATCTCTGGTAAACGTGGGTGACACTTCTATTGAGTAGTCTGTCAACATCTCACCTAAAATGTCATTTAATCAGTGGATCGACTTGAGTAGTGTCGGAATTATTTCAAACACAATAGTGATGTCTTATCAAACATAACTATTGTCGGATCAAATGCAAAGATGCATTTCTCATAATTCACACATAGCTAGGCAAGATGTGTCCAATTTAAGCCAATCAGAACACGCTATTTTACGGAACTACATTCCGTTATATAACCAATTACGAACTCAAGATCACTAGTTAAACGGTTGTCATGGTGATGACTGGACTGTACATATTGAAATTGATACTTTGGCAGCTTGTCACTTGCAAAAAATATGTTCTTTTAGTGATTTCGTATCTTTTAGATGATTTTGTGGAAAATATTTGTAAATGCAATGTGTGAAAAGAATTAAGCCCAATACTCAATGCCCCGCATCTCGTGCAAATTTTGGAAAGCAACACCTTCAAGCATGCAATGGTCGTTCCACACTGCACTGAGTCCAGGGCTTAAATCCTTAAATATATCATTGAATTAACAATTTTACACCATGCTGCTCATGTGACTATTGGTCACTTTGTATATTTTCTTAACAGTATCACTTACAATATTTTCACTTAACAAGAAGAACTTAAAATGATCGGATTGCGAATAACTGTTACTTACTCTGAAGAGTATGGAATTTTACAAGAAATTATGGAAAACGCTCTAACCATTATTCAATTCTTGTGGAAATGCTAAGAAATGAAACATTAACTGCAAAATTGTTCGGTCCTTTGTTCCCAACAAGTTGTAAAAATATTTTAAAATGCCGAATTTATTTAATCATTGAAACTTGCCAACATCCAATCAATAGTAATTTGGCAAATATTTCACACTTTTGTACAGCAGTGTATTTCATAAATATTTACCACAACAATCTTGGCGATTCCATACTCTGACACCAGACACACGGTATGTGGTTCCCATGTCTACAACCCACCATGGTTCATTTGACATTGGCTCAGAGTGGGCGCATGGGTGGGGAACACCTCGTTTGTGGATACCTTAAATGTAATTATGGATTATTTTAAAAGTCTTGTACACAAATCATGTTGAAAGAATGAGAACTTGTCAACCATCATACTTTTAGAGGACAAACGTAAAATATTGTTGAATTTTATTGTTGAATTATTGATAATGTAGCTGTTTTCAGAATACCTTCAAAAAAGCTATCAATCGTGTTTTGAGATTCCGAATAATTAATTATCTTTGTTGTATTGACCGTTCAATTTACGGAGTAGTGTATTTTGCTAATTGTTCACGGTGAGATTCGTGAGGTGAGGTGTAGAAACAAGAACTTAAAGTATAATTCAATCATGGCTTAAAATACCTTGAAAATGGCCATCATTTGCATTTTCAGGGTCCGACTTGATTTGGAATTTTTGGAGTGTATTTTGCTGATAAGACTTCTTGCCCACCGCCACATTAGTCAGTTTCAGATCTGGAAACAGAAAGATGCAATGAAACTTACCACATAATTAGAATCAGAGACCTATAAAACATGTTTTATATGTCTCTGTTAGAATTATCAAATATATGATACTAGGGTGTTTCATTTTTCAAGAATGTTCTCAGATTATAACGGCCCTTCAACGTGGGGTTACAAATGGTGCTGGTAGTTCACTGATTTTTTGTCAACAAAATCGGATAACGTTAAAACTGGTCCGTCGGCCATTCTTTCCGTCCCATTGGATTACATTGTGGGCGACACCCACTTTTTAATGGAAAACAACATTTCTTTGTTGCTCATTTACCGGAAATACAGGGTGGTAAAAAAAACGGCAATCCTAGTTTTTCCTAATATCTTTGTCATTCTAAGGAATAACTCCCTGATATTTTACACATTTGTACATCATTCAATTTCCTACCAACCTACCATATTTCATGACCATCGGACTGATAGTCACAATATTACTGCATTTTAAGCAACATACCCCAGATGGCCACTTTCGGGCTGTCTGAGCTGGTCTGTTATCCAAATGAACTCCATTTTCAACTTGATGCACTGGTGAACTGTAACAATTATGTATTCTTGGGGAGCCAAGCACTTTATGAAGTAGTGGAGAGGCACTTTCACACAGACAGATGCACAGTTTAGTGTGTTCTCAGAAGATTGGGTCCTTTACCTTTGATGATGCTAACAGATATGCAATAACTGTCAACATCAAAGTCAAAGTCCATGATTCCCATGGAGTTCTTGGGGACTTTAGGTGAACCCAGGGTGGTTGAAAGGCAGCAACAGTGGTTCCAACAAGACAGAACCATACCCCATACACCAAATGATGCACAATATTGGCTTTGGGACCACTTCAATGACCACATTATCAGCAGTACAACAGACAATGAATGGGCACCCCATAGTCCAGATATGGCCCCATTTAATCTTTACCAGTGGGGATACCCAAAAGATAGAGTGTAGGGTAATAACACCAGAAAGACATTTGACCTCAAAATAAAGATCACATGTGTCATTCAGGCCATACTTGCTGAGGGATGCTGTTATGTCACTGACAGGTTTGGAAAACATGTGCAGGTTTGCCTACAGCACGATATTGGAGAACTGGGGCATCTTGTTTAAAGTGCTGTAACATTGCGATTATCTGTCCAATTTTCATGAAATAATACAGTCTAGTATGAAATTGAATGATGTACATGTGTGCCAAATATCAGGGCGAAATTTCCAAAAATGACAAAGATATGAGGAAAAATTAGGGTTGCCGTTTTTTTGACCACCCTGTAGTTAGAACCAATTTTTCTGATATAAGCATTTGAGAATACGTCAAAACACTTTCAATTGATGTAAACTAGACTGTTCTAGCACTTTTTATCGCAAAGATATTGCAGATCTACTGGCCCAGGGGTCGAACAAATAAAAAATGCATAATATCGTGCAGTTAAATTCACGAATGTTTTTCTTTTCTGTCAACAATTTGAATATTTTAGAAATTTTTTATCATAAAATAACAAAATATCCCCTTGCAAATCTAATAAAACATGTTTTAAGAATAAAAGTGGCTGAAATCAATTTTTATTTTTGACCCCCTCCCCCAGTAGACTACAGGTTAGTAGACTGCCAATATCTCGGTGACAAAAAGTGGTAGAACAATCTAGTTTGCATCAATTGAAAGTGTTTTGATGTATATCCAAATGCTTATAACAGGAAAACATTTTCCAATCATTTCCCGCAAATGATAGGCAAAGAAGTGCGAAATAATGTTTTCCATTGAAAAGTGGGCGTCGCCCACAATGTAATCCAATGGGACGGAAAGAATGGCCGACGGAGACGGACCAGTTTTAACGTTATCCGATTTTGTTGAAAAAAAATCAGTTAACTACTGGCACCATTTGTAACCCCACGTTGAAGGGCCGTTATAATCTGAGAACATTCTTGAAAAATGAAACACCCTATAGGATACCCATATACTGAAGGGCAAGACCTAACTAGACCATTCCTATCCGGAATCTGGCCACTACACTGTAGTTAGCGGATTTTTTCAAAGGTTTATACTTTTTACTGTATAATTTGGCGCAAATTTCTGTTTGGGGATAATAATTTCCTACTTGTATTATCTTTACTCAGTGTTTACTCGGAAGGGGACTTCATAATACTAAATTTTTTTAGTATTAGTCCCCTTCCGAGTAAACAAAAAATAGACCCGCGCATTTTCACCGAACTAAACGAAGGTGACTCCATGAAGAATCTATAGTGGATTTTCATCATCAGACATCGACCCTTTTCTCTATAGGCACGAAACAGGGAGTAGATTAAACCTCACTATAAATTGTGTTGCATCTCATATTCCTAATAATAAGGATGTTTAGATACACGTTTTTAAAACCTAAACTTGTACGTGAACGTGTAGAATTATGATGCTCTATGGATCCCTCGGTAAATACAATATATCAACCCTAGGTCCCTACGGTCCCTCGTTTAGATATATTGTATTTCCCTCAGATATACCCTGTATCAAAAACCTCACATTAAATAACCTCTATTATGTATACGGAAAATAATTATAATTTTTAGGTTCCTGGGAAAGTGAATTGAGAGTGGAACAGTAATCCCCGGGGGTCGAAATATTATACACGCTCATGTACAGGTTCTTTTAAAAAAACGCGTAGCTTAACCTCCACAATCTCTTAAACCGTGAACGTCTTCACACAATAACTTGAGGGTTGAGGCAATATTGGACGATCCGCCTTTTTACAAGATTTGGTTTCATTATAATTACAGTCTATGCAATAAGGCGTTCATAATCACTGCCATGTAGATTCGTAATTACCAATCTGAGGTACATTTATACTTTAGCAATCAAAGGTTTATTATTATGTCACCACCAAAATGAACATTTTGAAAGAAGAATACTTTGGAAAAGTAATGTTTTTGAAAAATAAATATAAGAAAAAAGTTAAAATAAATAAAATACTGGAATGACCTGTCGAATACGATTTTCTGAGCAGGGATTTTTCAATACCAATTATATCCACCGAGAAGTAATATTATCATGGTCTAAAAATGTCTACCTTTCATGAAGCCCGTTGAGATGAAGACGGTTATCCATCCCTGTCTTTCTTCCCCCAGTCCGCAGTGTTCTTGTAGTAAGCACTCATCTCTGCTATAACTTATTCCCATACATGCATCTCCTCGAGTCAGACATAGGAGCAGACAGTGGTCAAGGCTCTCAATGGGAAAGGAAGTAGGCACTCCACCTTGTATTTTCATTCCGTGGTTAAGGTAATATGTATTTGGTACCACTGAATCTACTACCTCCAATACAGGTGATGAGTATAATTGCATCGATTTGATAGGGACTATTATGATTAAAAAACTGAAGGTGAAACATAATAAATACATCGCTCTCGATTCCTCAAATGTTCTTTGCTTCTGGTCAAACTTAACGGTGTGTGTCCACTCAATCCACTCAAAGGCTTTGTTTCTAGACTTCTCAATTGTTCACTCAAGTTCTACTTTCTCTTTGATGTGATAGCCGTTTTCTACTCAATTCAAATACTTTGTACCCTCACTTAATTTCTCATAATGTTCCCTGAGATTACATTGACTCATTTTATTGTTTTTCTAATGTTATTGTACATACGTCTACTTATTTTGCAGTTTTACCTTAAAGTATGTATTCCTCGACTTTATTTTCTTGTTTTTACACTAATTCTAGTGTCACGCTCCACTCAATACCTCATTTTGTCACAAAAATGGTTTAAATCTAATTAGATAGTTTTTTCATTTATTCAAATGCTGCATCCGCTTATTTCATCTTCTCAAGAATAATGTTTGCATTTGAATTGTTCGGGTATCTTGTCTTCTCTCCCCAACCTCTTGTTACTCCTCGAATGGTTTGTGTGTCAACTCAATTTGTAATCGTTTTATTTAAATGTTTTGTGTGTCATCGCAGCTCGCAATTTCTCCAAAACTTCATTTTTTCTATCAATCAGGTCTGAAAAACTCATATGCTAGATATTCTTTCCGACAGTATTTCTGTTTTGCGTTCTGTGCTAATTCGTGAAAGTGTAGTTTGCACGCAAATCATTTCTTGGAAAATATTGTAAAACAGCTCATTTAATTTCGCCTTTCATCAGATATTGTATTGCTCATTTGTCCTAGTATTACTTTTCGTGATTAAAAAACTCTTTTAGACTTTGAATTTTCCAATAATTGAATTTTCCGCCATTTAACAGCAGCATTTCAGATTTTTAGATCACCATTACAAAACACGTACATAGAATTTAGGTCGTTATTTTGAGTAATAGCATGACGTCCTTGTATTGCAGCTAAACCTGAGATCGGTAGTCCGATATTTAGATTAGCCTACTACCAAAAATAAACACGTACATTAAATTAATCACTCTTTCTTTACTTTTCAAACATGCAAAAATTAAATCATTTCAATATGAAAACCTTTTAAATGGTTTTATATTCAGGGCCCAACCCAGCCCTCAGTTCCTAATACCTAGACAGGCGTAAGTGCCAACCAATTATTTATGAAAGTGTTTTTCACATAGCGTCATTAACCTCATTTTACAATTGTCTTTTTCAACTATACTCAGTTATCTGATATAGCATGGCTATATTGTGCCCTGATTGGCCAATGCATTCCAAGTTTTTTTGCCTAGATACAAGGATTTTGTTAGAATATCAGAAGCTTAATAAATAGTCACTGAGCCGTTGTCACTACGAAACAATCTGGCCAGCATAATTGAAACAATGCTTCGTTTTACAGTATGTTATTATACAAGTGTAATTATTTGGATTAGCTTTGTACTTGTGATGTTTTTATACATCATAATAGTATCGATCATGAAACAAACGCTTAATGAGTTGCTGTAAATTACTTGAATAAGACACGTGTAATAAATAAATGCGATATCTTGTAATTAATTGTATTCATATCTGAAGTCCAATGTTTATATATGAAAAATGTACTCTCCCCTCCAAAAGTTTGACAACATTGCCTCACCATTGGATGGCCTGGTGGTTGAAATTGAGTTTTCCTACAGTTACATTAGCAGATAAGGTAAATTATTGCAAATCTATTATTTTGAATGATCTACAGTTGTAACAAAGAAGAGTCATTCTTTTTCTATTGTTTTTAAAAAATTGGCAAGCTATTCAAAATCAGTGTCGCACAAAAGACGATTGACTGTCACACGCAATGCACTAAAGCTGCCCTAATTACACCCTAATCACTCATTAAATATTTTTGTAGTAAACACAAAATAAATCAAATTTTGTATCACCGGACTGTTACATGCAGTGTACTGAAGCTGAACTAATTACACCCACTCCTCAATTCACTAACCTCATGAAATTCAGAAATCAATCTTTCCTAAAATTGGATCATGGGCCATTTGCCTTTCGTTACAGGATCTTAGAAATGCTAATAGCCTTGGGCAAAGGCCCTCAGCTAAAACCCACTACTCATACTTTATCCATAACAGATTTACAAAGGTAAATGAAGGGAGTCGGTGATGCCAAACCTTTCGAGGGGATGTAATTACTCTGAACAATAACTAGGTTCACCATAAATAAAATAGACATTAACTCATTATTATCCATGATGTGTTCAACAAATCGACAAAAGAAATTCAGAAATTCAGAATTTCAATTATCCATCCATCAATCAGAATTTCGAGAGTGCTAAAGTGGGCGTGTTAGGTTTTTAAAAATATAATATCAACACGGTGACCAAGTGTTAACAGTGGAGATTGTCCCGGGCGTGTTTTTCAAACGGTTTAGACGTTTTTTGGAAAAGTTGAGAGGTAGGTTGATAAATTTGGTTATGATATTGCGGTCACTTGATCTTTATGTAAATGTAAGTGATTTATATTGCTTACCTTACTATATATATCCTAACTTCAGGTATTCACAAACGCGTTATTTGCATGAATCCCATGATGCTATAGCCTTGTAAAATCGGAAAATGAGCGATTCTGGCAATGTTACAAATTATATTTTTGCCTGAAAATCACTAGCCTGCTTTGTATTCAATGAATACATCGATTAAAATTAAAAGAGCTTAAATAAGTAGCAATTGACCGAATATTTTTTGGGGAATAAACTATTTGGACGTGTCCAAAAATATCCCTTCTCCATCGTTAACTCCACTTCCTACATTTACAGTCATTTATGGCAATCCTAAGATAAAGATAGTTAAAATATAAACACGATCTTTAGAGTAGTGAATATTATTCCACGTTGTTGAATGGGTAGTCTGTTTAAACTTAATTAAATAACACTAAATGCAAAGGTCCATGTGCAGTATGGCAAGTGATTTTAGACAGTCATATTTTTCACCATAAGTAGATTCTGGGTATAAATACAATGGTTTTTATTAAAACAATATGTTTTCTTTAAAGTGAAGTCCCCATGATAGTAAAATATCAATCTAACTGTCTGAAAAATTATGGATTAGGACCCAACCTTGTCACTTTTTTAAAAATGTAAGGCTTATTTTCTAAAAAGGGGATCTTGTTTTTCTCAATATAAATATATCAAAAGTGTCTTCTACACTACTGTATATTAATAACTTCTGAAAAGGGGAATGGGTATTGAAATGCGATAAAGTTAAAAACCACATTTCCCATGTTATTTTCCCATCAGGAAAACTCATGCTATCCATTGTTTTCATCATGATTTTGCTCATCGAAAATTGATATCTTCAAAACTAGACTTTCAATACCATTCTACTTTTGAAGATGTTTAAGACCCCTTGTTGAATAATCTTTTCATGCAATAAAAATCAGAAAAGAAAGATCCTCTTTTGAGCTAATAAGCTCAACATTTTGAAAAAATTGTTGACGTGGGGTCCCTATTTATAATTTTTCGAATTTTTGATTGATATTTTTATCATCATGGGGACTTCAATTGAAAGAAAATATATTGTTTTAACCACTGCATTCATGCCCAGAAAGTACTCATGGTGAAAGATATAACCATCTAAAACCACTTGCCATACTGCACATGGACCTTTAGTTCATATTTCTGGCATGTTTGGTATATAATTGCGAGTATGATGCGGAATGATCGCTTAAATAGACTCGTTGGTATGATCGAAGAAGAACATTTTAGGTAGATGTCAAGTAATGTTAGTTTGTAAAATATAGAATAGTCTTACCTTTTTGCTCCATTCTAACGAATGTCGTATTCCATGTTCTTACAAAATACGTCTAGATCGTTTGAAAAAACACGCCCGGAACAATTCACATTGTTAAGACTTGAGCACCGTGATTTTTAGACTCTGCCTATAACCCTGTTTAATGTATTTAATGTATTTATCTTTATCTCTTAGTCTATCTAACGTCTGTTTTATTACATCGTTAATCTCATTGTTAAGCAAAAGTCTTTAGCTATATTCATTAAAACCATACCATTCTACATATTATACTGTTATATTGGAAAACTATAAATGATAAATAAAATTTCCTTATAAGCTTATACTCATGATCAAGCAAGGCCAGCAATGGTCATAAAGAGGAATTGCAATCCCCTGGGCAATAACACGAGGGCGATGGCCATCACGCTATCTTTATTTTTGATGCAATGCGAACTAGCTGAAAGTACGTAATTCTAGATTCAGACAGAAAAACAATTTCTCATTTTTATACTTAATTCACAGAATGAGTCCTGCTCCACGTGTATTGTATCTAAAGATTCAAACATTAGCAAATACTACTGGGACATGTATACTTCCCTTCATAAGTTTGGCAACTGTGGATAGCATATCAATGAAAACAAGCTCTCAAAGATGCTAGCTCCAAAAAGGGACTTTCGGTTGCCAAACTTATGGAGGGAAGTATATAGCAGTACATGAGGGTGGTTTAGCTACACGTTTTTAAGAAAACCTGCATTAGTGTAATATTTCGACCCCCGGGGATTCCGCTCTCAATTCACTCTCCCATGGACCTAATTACAATTATTTTCGTTTACTTTTATATTCAATCAGTAGTAAAAAACTTTCGGGAGTAATATGTGTGTCAAAGAAGATGTTAAGCCAAATATTGACCCGATAGCTCAAAAATAGAAAAAATCGAATTTTCTCTCTACAGTCATTGTTAAAGCAATAAAACCGAAATATAGCTGGTTTTCTATGATACATGTTAAACAAACTCGTTTCGTAAGATATTTGGAGCTAAAACATGTATGACATACATTATTTTCTTCAGGAAGCATTATAATGTGCATCGAAATCAAATCGCCAGGAGAGTATTCAACAGACATGTGTATAATGATTCCCTTTGACACCAACGTGAAATTGCAAATCTCTCAGTTCTAAAATCGAACCTGTAGCTGATCAGGTATCTGAAGTAGACTAGGTAGCGCTTGTTTTGTTCACCCTATACACATTACTGCATTGATTCATGGACTTTGGGTTCACTGTTGCCACGGTGTTATAGCATGACGGTTACGCCACCTCTGAAAACGAGGTTGGACAGTTACGTTCACTGATTTATCCAATAAGATGGCCGCGATGGAAGCGAAAACTAAGGTTGGTGCATTATTTTCTACTAACTACTGGTATCAATGAAAGGATGAACGATTTATGTAAGCATCGCATTCGGTGATACATTCAGTAATGTATGTTTTGAACGTAGTCTTTGCAAATTGATGCCCGGGGATAACATGAAATAAGAGAAAAACTGTCGAGTTCGAAATTCAAAACTACACAAAAATTTAGTAATTTGTTTATTTTTGTTGTTAGGGCATGGTCTACATTGCCTAAAAACCTTGTGGTATATAGATGTAACCTACATACGATCATACAAAGCCAATTGAGCATTGGAAACCACCTAATATGTTCTACTCAAGCCATAATAATGTATTTTGAATTTGCGGTAACATAAAAAATCGATGGACGGTTACGCGAACCTGATTCTGACAGGTGGTTTACTAGAAGCGGAATATAAGCTGTAAACTTACCGACTGAGATGTCCAAGTTCATATTTTTTAGTACATTCTCGTGATTTCTCAGTATATGTGCCTCAGAGCCACTCAAACTATTAACAGTAAGTGAACTGTGTATAAACAAGCCATAAAATGACAAATCCAGAACAGGAGCGTGGTCATATTGTAAATAACTAGATAACGGCAACTCCGCGGAGTAGCAAATCCCAACGAACAAAATATCAATTAGCGAATTCCAATCAATTATACTCATTATTTTGGTTGAAATTGAAAAAATTAGATTTTAGAATTGCGAATTCCTGCAAAGCAGCCATTTTGAATTTTCTGAGATACAAATCTGAAAAATAATACCATAATTGTGATCTACTCCAAAATTCCTTCAATTTGAGTATAATATAGACATCGTACATTAGACGGCCATTTTGAATTTTAAGAGGCTCGAATCAGAAAAAAGATACAATATTTGCAATCTACTCTTAATTGCCTTTCATTTGAGTATAATAAAGCTATACTTTAGAAAGATCTAAAAATTAGCGAAAATTTTTGTTTTCCTGTGCCCCCATACACGGCCCCTGGGGGTCAGGATGAAAAACACGGAATATATGTGAAATAGATAAATGTTGTGAATATACTACCAAAATTTCAAATAATAATATTAATTACTTTGGTTCAGAATGAAAAATTTATGATTTTTGCGAAAAAGTCCCGTCATTTTTAAAGCGGCGGCCATCTTGAAAATTTTTATTTTTACGTAAAACTATTCACCAATATACATCTTTCCACTAAATATGAAGAAAATCTGTCTACTAGTATTTGAGTTATCTTCAGGACAGACGGACGGACGGACTGACGATTTTATGTAACAAAATTATTTCATACAACTACTCTTTACAGTGACATGGCTTTTTACAATGCAGGACAGCTGAAATTATTTGTAAAGCTAGGAAATGGGCAAAAAGTGAATTTCGCGAAACAAGAATGGCGACCATTTTGAAAATAGGCGAGCTTTTGAACCAAGAGTCTTAGGGGAGTTTTTTGTATTGACGTTGAACAAAATTAACTTAAAACGGGAATCCTATCGACAGAGGGTTTGAGGCAAATGGTCCAAAAGTTGATTTTGCGAGACAGATGGACAAATCAGTGTTAACTAAAATGGCTGAAAATAAAAAAAATGGATATAGTTTTTCGCTGATTTTTCGTAACAAAATTATTTCATCCATCTACTCTTTACATTGACATGGATTTTTACAATGTAGGACACCTGAAATTATTTGTAAAGCTAGGAAATGGGTCAAAAGTGAATTTCGCGAGACAAAAATGGCCACCATTTTGAAAATAGGCGAGCTTTTGAACCAGGAGTCATATGGGGAGTTTTCTGTATTGATGTTGAACAGATATAACTTAAAACAGGAATCCTATCGACAGAGATTTTAAAACGTGCCACTGTTATTGACGGAAAGTGGATTTCGCGAGTCAGATAGACAAATCAATGTTAACTAAAATGGCTGAAAATAAAAAAATGGATATAGTTTTTCGCTGATTTTTCGTAACAAAATTATTTCATCCATCTACTCTTTACATTGACATGGATTTTTACAATGTAGGACAGCTGAAATTATTTGTAAAGCTAGGAAATGGGTCAAAAGTGAATTTCGTGAGACAAAAGTGGCGGCCATTTTGAAAATAGGCGAGCTTTTGAACCAGGAGTTTTCTGTATTGATGTTGAACAGAAATAACTTAAAGCAGGAATCCTATCGACAGAGGTTTTAAAACGTGCCACTATTGTTGACGGACGGACAGACGGACAGACGGACAGACAGACAGACAGACGGACAAGTGAGTGATTGCAAAAGCTCACCATGTGAGCTAATTAGCATCAAGTACTGATGAATATGACAAAATTAATAAAAATGAATCTGGGATACATATTTGAACGAGGTTCGCGTAACCGTCAATCAACTTTTGGCGTAACCGCAAATTAAAAATACAATATTATGGCTTAAGTAGAACATATTAGGTGGTTTCCAATGCTCAATTGGCTTTTTATGATCGTATGTACGTTACATCTATATACCCCGACATCGTTAGGCATTGTAGACCATGACCTAACGACAAAAATAAACAAATTACTAAATTTTGTGTAGTTTTGAATTTCAAACTCAGCAGTTTTTCGCTTAATTATTCCATGTTATCCCCGGGCATCAATTTGCAAAGAATACGTTCAAAATATATATTACTAAATGCATCACCGAATGCGATGTCTACAAAAATCGTTCATCCTCTCATTGATACACAGTAGAAGAAAATACTGCACCAGCCTTAGTTTTCTGTTCCATCGCGGCCATTTTATTGGATAAATCAGTGATCGTATTCGTCTAATTTCGTTTTCAGAGGTGTCGTAACCGTCATGCTATAACACCGTGTTAAAGGCCAATGATGCTTCGATCGACGCGGATGCCATCCCTGTTTTAGTTATTTGCCAAATACTCTTGCTTGTTCGTGCAAAAGTGCCCTATGCATTGTCAATTGCCCCAAATACCCAAGCATCGCGATGAGCTCCTACCATATGTCTTATCTATCAGGTTCAATGTTTCCTCTGATGATCCCCATAACATTATGGGTTGTGCGAGTCTCTCCCTCTCGTGTTTTTAAAGACTAAACTCCTCTATTGCCCACCGCCCTAACCTTTACGTAGTGTTCATCTTTCCCGCCATTTCTCGGTTGCTTCGTCGTTTGATGGATCCATGCTATCAAAGAACTTGATGACATCGGCGTAACTTGCTGTGCAGGGATTTTCAGAAGACAAATAGCACTCTCTACTTCTACAGTAAACATACGTGGAGTAAAGTCGATTGCTGGGTAACCGGGTGTTAATGGATCGCCATAGCCAAATTAGGTGTTGATCCTCGTTGTGCTCCGGAGAAAGGAAGCCATTTTGAATTTGGAAAAAACAGCGCCCTCTTTGGGTACGTCTCCAGACTCAGAAAAGAGAATGACTCACGATAAAGTCTACCATATCGCACAATAAGAACTTTAATTTTTTATCGGTAACATTCATCCCCAATTCACCAGTTATCTTTACTTGTACCGCATGGTATACCGAAACGTACAACAAGAATACCGGCAGCCATAAGACAACCTGTAAGTACCACACATACATGTAATATAGCCAACACCCCTTGATGCACTGCAATTTCGTAAAACCCCACTTAGATAGTAATCGCGAATTCAACTGCCGGCTGGCAGATTAACCTACTATTTCATGTCCGATCAACCCATTTAAATTTGAACCTGGCACTTTTCCGTACATAGAAATTTGACCTTGAATTTGGCCTTGCTTGACCCCAATTATCATTCACACGTCATAACAGTACAATGGGTAGGCTATTAAGCTAATATCCATAGTAACTCAAACAGAATGCATCAGAAAATGAAGCCTGATAGAAACTCTCGCGTTGGTAATATCTTGAACACTGATGTAGATGGATCGATTTACAAACTTCAGTATTGGCAAATAATGTATGAAAACCCGTTCTTCAATCCGAACTGTCACCAAATTATCAAAGGTATGATATCAAATGTTAGACTTGATTACTTTATGTGATATTGCATGCTTTGCTATTTGTGAATATTTGCCTGAAGGAAGAATGAACAACAAAGGGACAAATAATATATAAGGGCTTAATGTTTCAGTAGTTTATCGTGTTTTAACTTCTTATGATCACATTGCATATAATAGCAGAACAGAGCTATCTATTTTATTGTAATTCCATTTTGTTGAACGTGGGTATTTATCCACCTCTCCTTCAAAAATGGACCCAAATAGACCAGCCCCAGCCGAAACTTGAATAATTGCTTTAATATCTTTGCAATCAACCATTTTGAAGGTAAACAAAAATAACCTATGTGTGACAAATTAACATGCATCATGCTTGCTAGATAAAGTTTATCATATTAATGCTATGGACAATCCCAGAATGTGCTCATTTCTCGAAAATCAATCGAGCCAAATCGTAATATCAGACTCTTAGAGCATTCAGGAGAGAAACTATGGAGAAACACATAGTTATGGTACACTATTGAAGGTATGGTATGGTGTCAAAATAAAATCCATTGGCTAACGCAAATGAAAATGATCTATGTTAATTTCGAAACGTGGGCGCATTTTTGAATTGTCTATGGTATCATGATAATGAAGATAATGTAACAATACGATCATGCAATGAATGCAGTATCTGTACCTAAAAATGAAGATAGTACATATTGAAGATTTTTTCCAGTTTTGACCGGCCCTGTTTTGGGTCACCCTGTACACGAAGAATCATAGCATGATCAATACTACAGTCATCAGATTTTTTGGAAACATTTTGACGATTCATTTTCAGAGCAAGATGTTAAAGAGGTTCTCCAATACACACCAAGTTCTGCCATCCCAACACGATCAAACAAACACAGCGGGACTTACCTTCCCGTAATTCCCACGACACAAGAAACACAATGCAATAATGCCGTTCGTTATTTCGAGTCAGGGGAAGGTCGAAACATTGACACGGGGCGTTGTTTGAAGGTAGATACTGACTCTGAACATGAACTAGCGACATTAAGAACTAAAATGAAACCACCAAAAATCGTGGTACAAAAGCCATCCGACGTCAACTTTGACCGGTACTCAGTTACAAAACTTTTGCGCCGCCCTCTTTCTAACGCCCAAATGCGTTCACTCGACGAGAAACGGTCTGAACTCTACGATGACACGGACTATAAATTCAGAAAGTTCAGCTTTACAACTATCGCGGAAGAAGATCAATTGGGCGTTGATAATTTCTATAAAATATATTATCCTTGTTTACTGGAAAAAAACAAACGTAGACACCGTATTATCGAAAGCATGACTAGACTGGTAAATAACCGCCCCCTTCAATGCGACTCAAAATTTGAATTATCTCATTATATGTTATGCGGTAAGACCCTGGGTGATATTATGAATGTTGACACCACGTCTGCTGAGTCTCTTTTAGAGGGAAATGACGAGCCACATTTGACAACGAACACACGGAAACGTCTTGCAAATACAATTCTATCTAATGCTAAAATTAAAGATGATTCAGAACATCCCGTTGATGGTGATTTGAATAAGGATGCCATTGAAGAGGATATTAGGATGGAGTACCAGTCTGCAAGTGGAAGAAGAATGAACTTTGCCGAAAGTTCCCCCCAAGCAACACTAGACGCCCGTCAGATATTCCAAGATGACACTTCCTTGGTCAAAACGTCTAACATCGTACTAGAAACTCTCCATGGGGGCGTTAAACGCGGCAGTCTATGGGCACATGCTGACATAGAGCCTGAACTCAAAGAAATGCAAGTAAACACAGATAGAAAGAAATACAAATATGAAAAGGGAAATGAAGATTCTGACGCTGAAAAAGCATTAACTGCGCTAAAATTCTTTGGAGAAATTCTAAACAGAGTCCACAGCGAGGATGAACTCCAACAAAGAATTGACTCTCTTTCTGCCATCCCTAAGTCTGCGTTATCATCACAAAGTGATGTATCCTTGGGACACGAATGGGACAGCGGAAGTGACGTCAGTATCGATGACGTTACGGACTATGAGCATCTACTTAGGTTTGGTGAAGCAGTTGTAGATGACGATTATAGCAAAGTTATTGCAAGCGAGGTGATTAACAAGAAAGGTGATGTTATAGATGAAGTAGAAACCAACATTTCATATGATCATAATGAGAATATTGAAAGTGATCGAGGCAATGACGGCATTGAAGAGTCACCTATAACTTTTAATAGAGACGAAATTTAATCTCAGCTCCCCCCTCGATTATCTTTAAATTGAACTTAACATGGTTAATTCAGAAAAAAACTTTGGATAATCTTTTACAAAACCCTAAATCGACTTTTGATTAGCAAACGCAACTCATGATTGCATTCTAAAGAGAATAAATTCACTATTTAAAGGTAATAGATATTGTTTTCATACAACAGTTCCAAATAATGGGCTATTATTCAGAAACATTGGGATACTGTATTTAGAAAAGGTCAAGGCCTAAATGAATGATATTTTTGTTTTTCAATGGCCTCCTCACATATGATCTGAACGAAACTCCACGATGTCAATGTTTTGGGGCAAAATAAAGATTTTTATTTGAATTCTATAGAATGTCCAATGTATTGATAAGGACCCTATCTTCCATTTGACACCAACAGCATCAAAGCTTACAATGATTAATCAAAAAATATGTTCGATCTGTCAAGCTTTATACATCAAGTTTTTATCAATGTCATTGAAAGATGGCGAAGTTGTTTGTATAACATGATACATTCATTTTTATAGAAATGTCGCCATCTTTTAAATCAAAAGTAATTAAAAACATGTTTGTTTAGCATGTGCATGCATGTCTAATGACCTCTGAACTCCAAATGCGTTTTTCTATGTTCTCTTTTTAGTATAGTGGGCCTTTAATCAAATATGAGATTTCATTTTTTGTATGTCCCGTTGTCGCCGTATCGCAATGGTAACTGTAATTCATTTATCAATAAAAAAACTCGAAAACAAAATTCAAAGATAATATTATTAGACTGCAAAAATAGTGCATTACAATTGTATATCAATCAATAAATATTTTCATTGATTGCATTTGTTTTAGTAAGAATCCTGACATACAATTCAATGAGTGTCTAGTTTCCCATACCCTTAGTACGTTCCAAATCTATACAATAACACCAAGCTACAAAGTGTCCGGAAAGTAAATATACAAATGCTCTAATTTCAATAGATTTACCTGTTGTGAGATGAAATTACTACAGATTGTAGAATGACATAATAACATAATAATGTTTTAAAATGAAAAAGTTACAGCTGTTATGGTAACAGGCAGAAGAAGTGAATACTATTTAAGTTACTCGATCCAAAGTTGTAGAAAATACTCATAAAACTACAGCGAACATTGGGAGATTCAGTTCAATGGCAAATGAGGCCTGTTTATAAAATTTGTTTTCGAATGTGCTAATATGACAGGTCATCTTTGGGAACCCCCTCCCTTGGGTAACAGGAGTCAGAGGTATGTGGAGCAACGTTGCAATTGTGTTTTATAATTCTTTTTCCTGCTCATGTCATTTTGGCACATCATCTGTTCCTATTTTACATCAAATTATGTATCACAACAACATAAGGCTTAGAACTGTAATATTATTTGGTCATTTGACATTACTAAATGTCAATCCAATACTATGTCTTTCCCTCCCACCATTATCTAAACATTTGTGGTGCATCTTGACCAGAGATTCAAAGACCTGACAAAACCACTGCTGCCCATCTCTCAGATTGCTGATAACACAGCTGGCTTCCAGCAGAGTCTCATTTTTATGTTGACCTTATTATACAAATAGTGACTGCCATTGAGGGCAATAGTGTAAATTATTTCCCCGAGGGAATATCCTCTACAATGTACTATTCCCAAAGCCGCAGGCTGAGGGAATAGTATATTGTAGAGGATATTCCCAAGGGGAAATCATTTACACTATTGCTCGAAATTAGGCAGTCACTATTTGTTTTATTATATACCCTATACTGACTCTTGTCCCGTTTCCTCTGCGAAGGCCAAAAAGGCTTAGAAAGCCCCCTCCCCGGGTCCATTGTTAGCATTATAAGCTGTGACGTCATCAGATGCTCAACAGAAATTTTTGCCTCTGAGACTCTCACTTGACAAATTCAATCGCGTTTAACACGCGGAATAGATTATCATAACACTTGAAATTACACAGACGTATTGAGCTTAGGGAACTTTATACACGTTGCTTATATTGTATCGTTCACGCACGTCTGTCATGGTGAACGGAGTTGATTTGTGTTTGTGCTCATCCTCCATTTTTCTGTTTTTCGTCTGCGCAGTGATGATGAGCAGACGTTTCCAAGGGTAATAGAGCTTGCAATTGTGACGTCAGCGGGCAATAGTTCAAATGTATATTCCCGCTGACGTCACATTTGAGGGAATATAACTTTCCGAGGGAAATAGTAAATCTATTTCGGAACACGTGACTAGGTATTGACCAATCAGGATTAGTGTTACATATTGGGTATATAATAAATACAAATATCGCTTTCAGATATTCATTGATGTAAGTCTAACGGGACTATATCAGGGGAATATAAGACATTGTAAAAAGGTTTAATGTCAAGACATTCAATTGTAAGATTTGTTTTCTTTGTTTTGTGATTTGGTGCATTTTGCAATATTGACTTTCCTATCAATCCAGCAACCTCTTTTCCAAGCACTTATATAATATTTCTTTCTTTATACTGGTTAGTAACATTATATAGTTCTGATATGCATCAATGTTATCACTATACTCAGGAGAAAATTATGGCAACAATAACACAATATTGAACAAAACAAAACATTGATAGAAAATACAAAAATAAACACTGTTTAAAATTGTTATATTCCTGCAATTTATCACATTTTAGCGATATTCTAGAACTGCTCCACATACCTCACACCACCGTAACCATGTCAACCATAATTTATACACTTTTAGACAATATAGGATGAAAAGAGTTGGTAGATATATTGCCATTACAATCTGTAGCAGTTTCATAACAAAAAACCTAAATCTCTTGAAATTATGGTATTTGTATCTTTACTTTCCGGACACCCTGTAAAATCAAATAATCAAAAAGGGATAAACATCACTGGTGATCCACTCGATTACGCTGGAACCGTTTCGGTAACAAAATGTCGGAACGTCGAAGGTACGATTTTTATTTTTTCCTTATTTCACACGTTGTAGGCAGAATTCCCACGACATTTTTATCACAAACGTGTATCAGTATTATATGTTTAAGAAAATGTACACATTTGCGAACAAATAGTTCAGAAGACAGCGGAATTGTCGATTCAATTCCTCACTAAGTTACATAAACGGTATTTCGAAAAAAGGGAAGATCTGCACTTTTAACCCCTACCGTCTATGTAACTTAAGTGAGGAATTAATAAAATCTACGATTCTGTTGTCTCCTGAGCTATTTTGTCGCAATCATGTACATTTTCTTAAACATATTATAATGATATAGGCGTTTGTGAGAAAAAATGTTATGGGGATTCTGCCTACGACTCGTAAAATGAGGAAAAAAGAAAATCGTACCTTCGACGTTTCGACATTTTGTCACCAAAACGAACCGTTTCTGTAACCAGCGTAATCGAGCGGATCACCTGTGAACATAAAATCTCCCAAATTATTGATTTCGCAAATCTCAGCAACTTTGATTGAGCAATTACATGAATTACGGTTGATATTTCATTGATTGCCCTCTGCCTTCTGGAAATGACATTTCTAATGCTGGCTATCGATCCCAAATCAGAAGTGTTAATTGTAAGTCATAGAAATATGTCTGGAATTACGACTCTTAATTCGTATCGTGATTTTTATTAGTCGCTTAGAATTCTCTATAATGTACTCATGATCTCTCAATCTTCCAGTCTGAATGGAAGACAGCCTGAATAGAATGAGATTCATGCATTTTTGGAGAAAAGGGGAAACTCACTAATTGATCTTTCGGATTTTCTCATTTTTGATGAATCTAGTCGTACGTATACAAGTATAATTAAATTGGATTCGATTAGAGACTATATTGAGCATGAAACCAGGGACACACGTGTAATTTTCCACAATATTTTATTTTACATCTAAGGTGAAAACACGTGAATGCGATTTGACATCCTTGTTTGTAAACGTTTGAATATTCACATGAATAATTTTTACATGTCGAGGATATAAATAGCTCAAAATTACAAGTCAAATTGCAAATACTGTGAAAAAATATCGTCGGGACGAATGCATACCGTTATCTACAGTTCGGACGAATGATTGGATCATGTTGCCAAGTTGCTCTTGGCCCATTTGAATGTTAGCTTACTTAGTAGTAGTAATACTAGGCTTGTGAAGTGCAGGCTTGTAACAGCCACACAGTACACGGAAGCTAGCAATGGATTAAATACTTTACAGTTGACTTATTGCACATTGAGCTGAGCCTGCTTTGCTTTAATTTTGAAATCCTAACCGAGAGAGATTATGCAGCGATACTACCCTCTTCCACATAGCCTGTCAGTCTAGGTATCAGCGTAGTTAACATCATTGAATGGCAAAGCAACTGCAACTATGCTAAACGGACGGCTGTACGCACGGTTATCTGCCATTCCTGGAGGTGAGTGTGGGCGTGGCTCTCAGGGGACGGTCTGATAAATCGGATTCAACCATATGTACTGTCTTGTGGAAATTGCAGTGACATTTTTTTGCACACAATTATTAAATTTTAGGAAACATTGCTTCAGAAAAGTAAACATTATAACATTTCAATTAAGTAGTAAGGTGCAATTAAATGCTATTAAAAGTAACACAGCACATTGTCAAGTGAAAATAAAGCTACAGGGGAAGTAGCAAATATGCAAATTAATCTACTCCTTCGGCCATCTTGAATAGCACTTCGTGTAAACAAATATCTTTTATTACCATACCTGAACATATATGGGTTATAGTATGAATATTTTCATTCCTTTCAAAAAATCAGACTGAATGACATAGCCAAAGGCAATGAGCCAACCACGTTCAATGGTTTGATTCCATTTGCTCCTTTAATATGAAGAGTCTTCACAGATCTTTGGAAGTAATATAGACTAATAGCTACACAAGCGTTGCCTGTATATTTATCGATGTTTCATGTAAATATCAACGCACAATATGTGCAATAGTAAGTTGTATATTGTGAAACTATTTATATGACAATTATTAGTCTGGATATAATAAAAGCAATATATTGTAAGTACCATACAGCAATATATTGTAAGTACCATGCAGCAATATATCATAAAGGGGTCTTCAGGCTAATAGATCATTAATAGTCTAGCTACAAGCTTTCGTGACCCCCTCCCCATTATTACACTCCACCACCTGTTGTTGAAGAAGATATAAGAGGTCACGAGTTTTGAAGCAATGCTAATGGGGTCTCAATAGTAAATATACAGTAAAACCATCTAATCCGAACGCCTTTGGGACCGGCTAATAGTGTTCAAATTTCCAGGTTTAATAAACATGTAGGTCACTTGGAAATTACAAAGTTAGAGTGAGAAAAAATGTTGAGGTGTTCGGATTAGACAGGTGCTCAGATATACAAGTTTAACTGTACTCATATGAAGTCGACTTAACATGCCTTGATTATATTTTCAGATTTTCGTAATATACACACTGACCATATAACCCCGATGGTGAGTCGAAATAACAAACAGCAACAGGCATTTCTAGACTTTATATCAAACTCGAATCAAGTCTGAGTGAATCTGACGTCAAAATAAAGTTTAAGATGGAGTCAAATCTGAGTAAAGATGGTGAATCAGAATTTAAAAAGAAACTCTCAATTCAATGTGCAGATTCTATTCTAAACGATGAAGACTCACATAAACAGGGTGAAAATTCACCTCAACAATATGAAAACTCACTTAAAAGTGATGAAAAGTCACTTCTATGTAGGAGAAATTCACCTCAGTTAAGCAACCATTCAAGTAATGAGCACATGATGGATGATGATAACAATGAAAAACACAACACTTGTAATGATGATGGAACTGATGATATGATTGCGAATTTAGAACCTCTTGTCCAGGATAATGGAATTACACAAAATAAGCAGGTACTGGAGACGAGGCTTTACAAAAGAAGGTGGTTCATTCTCATATTGTTTTCTTTATTCTCCATGAGTCATTCCTTTCAGTGGCTCCAGCTAAGCATCATTGGCAATATTATCCACAGGTAAGCTTGTTTCGACATACTACAATGTACGTATTTGTCTTCAAATTAAATAATGTGTTTGTCATATGGCTCATTAATGTGCTTGTCTTTTAGTTCGTTAATGTGTTTGTCGTGTGCCTTATTAATGTGTTTGTCTTTTACTTCACTAGTGTGTTTGTCATGTGCCTCGTTATTGCGTTTGTCTTTTACTTCATTAGTGTGTTTGTCGTGTGCCTCATTAATGTGTTTGTCTTATAATTAATTAGTGTGATTGTCATATGTCTCATTAACGTGTTGTCTTTTACTTCATTAGTGTGTTTGTCGAGTGCCTCATTCTTTTACTTCATTGGTGTGTTTGTCGTGTGCCTCATTAATATGTTTGTCTTTTACTTCATTTATGTGTTTGTCGTGTGCCTCATTAATATGTTTGTCTTTTACTTCATTGGTGTGTTTGTCATGTGCCTCATTCATGTGTTTGTCTTTTACTTCATTAGTGTGTTTGTTATATGTCTCATTAATGTATTTGTCTTTTAATTCATTAGTGTGTTTGTCATTTGCCTCATTGATGTGTTTGTTTTATAATTAATTAGTGTGTTTGTCATATGTCTCAAAAGACATTAATGTCTTTGTCTTTTACTTCATTTATGTGTTTGTCGTGTGCCTCATTAAGGTATTTGTCTTTCAATTCATTAGTGTGTTTGTCATGTGCCTCATTAATGTATTTGTTTTATTATTCATTAGTGTGTTTGTCCTATGTCTCATTAATGTGTTTATCTTTTACTTCATCTATGTGTTTGTCGTGTGCCTCATTAATGTATTTGACTTTTGATTCATTAGTGTGTTTGTCATGTGCCTCATTAATGTATTTGTCTTATTATTCATTAGTGTGTTTATCATATGTCTCATTAATGTGTTTGTCATTTACCTCATTAGTGTGTTTGTCAAATGCCCCATTAATGTATTTGTCTTTTAATTCATTAGTGTGTTTGTCATATGCCTCATTAATATGTTTGTCAATTACTTCTTCAGTGTGTTTGTCAAATGCCCCTTTAATGTATTTGTCTTTTACTTCATTAGTGTGTTTGTCATATGCCTCATTAATATGTTTGTCTTTTACCTCATTAGTGATTGTCATGTGTATAATTAGTGTGTTTATCATTTACTCAATTTGTGTGCTTTTCGTGTGCCTCATTAATGTATTTATCTTATTATTCATTAATGTGTTTGTCACATGGCTCATTAATCTGTTTGTCTTTTACTTCATTAGTGTGTTTGTCGTGTGCCTCATTATTGTGTTTATCTTATTATTCATTAGTGTGTTTGTCATATGGCTCATTAATGTGTTTGTGTTTTACTTCATAAGTGTGTTTGTCGTGTGTCTCATAATGTGTTTGTCTTTTACTTCATTAGTGTGTATGTCGTTTGCCTCATTAATGTGTTTGTCTTTTACTTCATTAGTGTGTTTGTCATGTGCCTCATTAATGTATTTGTTTTTTAATTCATTAGTGTGTTTGTCATGTACCCCATTAATGTATTTGTCTTTTAATTCATTAGTGTGTATGTCGTGTGCCTCATTAATGTGTTTGTCCTCTTATTCATTAGTGTGTTTGCTATATGTCTCATTAATGTGTTTGTCATTTACCTCATTAGTGTGTTTGTTAAATGCCCCATTAATGTATTTGTCTTTTAATTCATTAGTGTGTTTGTCATATGCCTCATTAATATGTTTGTCATTTACTTCTTCAGTGTGTTTGTCAAATGCCCCTTTAATGTATTAGTCTTTTACTTCATTAGTGTGTTTGTCATATGCCTCATTAATATGTTTGTCTTTTACCTCATTAGTGATTGTCATGTGTATAATTAATATATTTATCTTATTATTCATTAGTGTGTTTGTCATATGGCTCATTAATGTGTTTGTCTTTTACTTCATTGGTGGGTTTGTCATATGCCTCATTGATATGTTTGTATTTTACTTCATTAATGTGTTTGTCTTTTACTTTATTAGTGTGTTTGTCGTGTGCCTCATTAATGTATTTATCTTTTACTTCATTAGTGTGTGTTGTCTTTTACTTCATTAGTGTTTGTCATGTGTCTCATTCATGTCTTTGTCTTTTACTTCATTAGTGGGTTTGTCATATGCCTCATTGATGTGTTTGTCCTTTACTTTATTAGTGTGTTTGTCATTTGACTCATTAATGTGTTTGTGTTTTACTTTATTAGTCTGTTTGTCATTTGACTAATTAATGTATTTGTCTTTTACTTCATTAGTGTGTTTGTCTTTTACTTCATTAGTGTTTGTCATGTGTATAATTAATGTGTTTATCTTTTACTTTATTAGTGTGTTTGTCATTTGATTCATTAATGTGTTTGTCTTTTACTTCATTGGTGTCATATGCCTCATTAATGTGTTTGTCTTTCATTTCATTAGTGTGTTTGTTATGGGTCTCATTAATGTGTTTGTCTTTTACTTTATTAGTGTGTTTGTCATGTGCCTCATTAATGAATTGGTCTTTTACTTCATTAGTGTGTTTTTCTTTTACTTCATTAGTGGGTTTGTCATGTGTCTCATTAATGTGTTTGTCTTTTACTTCAATAATGTGTATGTTTTTCAGACCAAGATGCATCTTTGTGTCACTTTGTTCGTCTCGAATAACATCTACATTTTGTCTCGAATTACGCTTGTTAAGCCTGAAATTATCTTTACTTTTTTTCAATGCATGCTTTTGCAGGTATTACAACTCTAGCATTCCTGGTACAGGGCACCAGCAACAAATGGCTATTGATTGGTTGAGCATGGTTTTTATGCTGGCCTACGTCATTCTAGTATTCCCAGGTAACAAACGCACTGCCCAGCACAAAATGTTGCATGTGTACATATGAGCTCTCAGATATAACTTTCATACAATCAAAATGTCTTAATAATTTGACTATATTTACACGATAACTCCATTGCAAGAATTCGAACAAAGTTGTTCAAATTACGTACCATTTTATTCAGCTGCATGGTTGTTAAGTCACAAGGGTATTCGGGTGACAGTTGTTCTTGGGGCGGCCATCAATATGTTAGGAGCCTGGATCAAATGTGCCAGTGTTGATAGGGGACGCTTTTGGACGCTGATGCTGGCCCAGACAGTGACCTCAACTGCTGGGGCGTTGATTCTTGGGGTACCCTCCAGGATCGCTGCTGTATGGTTCGGTCCGAATGAAGTGTCTACAGCGACATCTTTAGGTGTCTTTGGTAGTCAGGTATGTATATATCCCAATATTTAATTTGCCATAATCGAACTATCTGTAAAACTTCGCAGTGAACTCCAACAACATCAATATATAATTTTCTGCATTTTAAATGAAATCTTCAATTTCCAGCTCGGAGATGCGAGTGGATTTCTCATTCCGCCAATGGTTGTTAAGAATGATGAAAACATCAATGTAGTTGGGGACTATCTACGTCACATGTTCTGGGGCACAGCGGCGGTGACATCATTAGTTTTTCTACTTGTCATTATAGGTGATATGTTTAATATAATATTTTTTTTTAAAAATAAATTATTTTGTTATATATATTTTTTATTATAAGCTATTCCATTCAGCGCCTGTCCCTTAGAAAACACGATTAATTAATTAGCAATCCCCTTTTGATTTAATGAAGAGGTCACATTAATTTCAATTGTGCGTTTTGACTGCATTTTGAAATGATTGAAATTGGAATTGAAATATAACACTACTGTGACTGTACCAATGTACCGTTACTGTCAAATACCGTACTTAATGCTTAATACCTAAATATGGTATCTATATTCACTTCTTAAATGTTTAATTGCAGTTTACCGCGCTTCCCCACCCCATCCACCTAGTCAGGCAAGGGCACATGTAGTAGCTTCAGACAACCAATCTACCCACATACAATCCATAGTGAAGATGCTAAAACATCCAGGGTTTGTTCTCCTCATGATAGCTTATGGTATGAATTGAACTTTTTCAATGTATTTAGTATAACTCACAGCCCCTTTCTCCCCAACTCGCATTTATTTTAATGTTGTTTGAGATTATTGTTTCTTTATTAACTCGTTAAATTATATGGTTGTTCAAATATTTTTGTTCATGGTTATGAAATCATTCGTTTGTTCAAACATATCTAACGTTAACCTCTTCAACATGTTTTTTTTGTAACTCATAAAAAGCTTTGTTTGGTACATTTCCAGGTATAAATACAGGCTGTTACGTTGCCATAGCAACATTGCTTAATCCAATAATTATAGGACAGTTTGAGGTAAGATACTATTGGTGCATTTATTTTGCAAGACTGATATGACAATTGGTATGATATTTTAAAATTGAAGGGTGGGATTGTTACATTCTGGTGCAAAAGTACGACACTAAACCAATAAATATCAAGAATGTCGAACTTTTTTAAATTTAAAAGCTGTTTTACAAGACAAAATAAACCAACCAATACAATTGCTAAATGAATTCTTTTTCTTGGATTCTGTTGGAAACCAGTTTTGGTCCATATGATGCTACCGCAAATGGCGCAGACAGCATACACTTCGATTGTTTTCTAATTTCAACTATAGCTTTTAATAACATTTAGACAAAAGCTTCTAATAAATATTCAAAATTCTCTATATACTGATTAAAATATATCAATTCAAAATAGTCCTTGGTAAAGTGCAATCTGAGATGATTGAGTACAAGAGAAGATCGATTGCTCCAGCACTTTATCAAGAAAAATTCTAAAAATCCAGAAAGAATTGCAAAAGTGTCGAACATTTTCAGAGTGGTGGTGGGCATGCAGGGAGGATTTTAATAGAGTTGAATATTTCCGAGGTGGTGATGTGAATGCAGGGAGGATTGTAATAGGGTTGAACATTTCTGAGGTGGTGATGTGAATGCAGGGAGGATTATTATAGGTTTGGGTTTGAATGTTTCTTTGGTGAGTAATGAATCCAGAGAGGATTGTGATATGTTTGAATATTTCCAGGGTGAGGAGGTAAATCCAGTGAGGATGGTAATAGGTTTAAAAGTGACCATGGTGAGGAGGTGAATCCAGTAAGGATTGTAATAGGTTTAAATGTTTCCTGGGTGAGGAGATGAATCCAGGGAGAATTGCGATATGTTTGAATGTATTCAGGGGGAGGAGATGAATACAGAATGGGTTTTTATAGTTGAATGTTTCTAGTGTGAGGAGGTGAATCAAAGGGGGATTGTAATAAGCTTAAATGTTTCCAGGGGACAGGGGCGGATCCAGGAACCAACAAGGGGGGGGGGCCCAAATTTCAGGTCAGAGAAAAAAACGTCCGCGCTTGCGCGGAAAAAATTTTTGGGCCCCTAAAATCCAAAAGTGGGCCCAAATTTTGAAATATTGAGGCCCATTTTCTTCAAAATTTGGCCTGAAATTAACAAATAAGGCCTTAAAAGGCCCAGTAATGACCAAAAAGGCCCACTTTTTGGGGCCTGAAGGCCTTGTTTGGCCCAAAAATTTTTTTTGGGCCCAATTTTTTTTTTCTGGGCCCACCCAAGGGGGGGGGGCCCGGGCCCCTGGGCCCCCCCCCCTAATCCGCCAGTGGGGGATGAGGTGAATACAAAGAGGATTGTAAAAGGTTTGAATGTTTTCAGGGTGAGGATGTGAATCCAAGGAGGATAGTGATATATTTGAATGTTCCCAGGGTAAGGAGGTGAATCCAGGGAGGATTGTAATAGATTGAATGTTTCCAGGGTGAGAATGTGAATGCTGGGAGAATTGTAATAGGTTTGAATGTTTCCAGGGTGAGAATGTGAATGCTGGGAGGATTATGTCTGTTAAAGCAAATATTGACTGTGATAGATTGATGTTTCTGTATATGTTGTTAAGGCTACCTGTAAGCTGTATATATAAGGTCATTTGTTTAGAAAGGTTAATACGGATGATGTATTTAAAATCACTATCTCAAGGTCGGAAATCTCCATTATCTCAAATGTGGGATACTGTTGTGCAGTACAACCTCATCTCATAGTCTATGTTAAGAACATGATTTTTAATGCAGAAATCCCTTCAAAACAAGAATTTAGAACTGTAGTCTGCGGACGTGTCAAGAGTTTTCACAATTATTGAACTGTTTTATCATCATTAATGTATAAAAATCTAAACGTGGTGACATGATCGTTGTCTATCCTAAAACCGAATGTATGGTGGGTCATCGCAAAAGAAAACCCCAATGTTTTATACCTCTGTAAAATGATGGTCAAATTATTAACCTCGACATATTTTAACAGTAGACGCCGTGAGGGTGACACAACTTTATCAGAAATCTGTATCTTTTGTGATCTTAACGAAAGAGAAAGTGTTAAGCATTTCTTGATTACTTGTCCAGCTTTTACTGATGTTAGAAAACCCTTACTCAATTTAGCGAGGGGTAATCTGAATGTAATGAACGACGATTGTATTCTTAAAGTGATTCTAGGAACTGTATACAATGATGATAAGGAGACTCTGTTACTCATAGCTATGCATGTGTACGAGTTACACAGGCAAAGCAATTTCTTGTGGATAAAAGTTAGTTATCCTCTTTACCTTACATCAAGTAACACAAATATGTTTTATAATTTTATTTAATTTTCTCTACATGTTAATATGAATGTAGCTCTCTTATATTTAAGAGGTAAATAAATTATACATACAATAGGTTTGAATGTTTTCAGGGTGCGGAGGTGAATGCTGGAAGGATTGTAATAATATGTTGGAATGTTTAAAAGGTGAGGTGTATCCAGAGAGGATTGTTATAGGTTTGAATTTCTTAAGGATGAGGAGGTGAATCCAGAGAGGATTGTAATTGGTTTGAATGTTTTCAGGGTGAGGAGGTGAATGCTGGGAGAATTGTTATCGGTTTGAATGTTTCCAGGGTGAGGAGGTGAATCCAGGGAGGATTGTAATTGGTTTTAATGTTTCCAGGGTAAGTAGGTGATTCCAGGGAGGATTGTGATAGGTTTGAATGTTTTTAGGATGAGGAGGGGAATCCAGAGAGGAATATAATAGGTTTGAATGTTTTTAGGGTGAGGAGGTGAATGCTGGGAGAATTGGTCTCACTATAGTCCTGTCTGGACTTATAGGCTCTATCGTTGCTGGGGTTTGGTTAGATAAAACTAAAATATACAAGTAAGGATCAGAACAACCGTCATTACATAATACACAGTGAGTTAAATGATAATGCACTCACATTTCAAATAGCCCCGCGGAAAATATTTTTAAATCCTGAGTTAACTGAGTATACATTAAGAAATCGACCTCATCCTATGAATGAAGTCCTTTCTCCTTTTCTCAATTTTTCTGTGCCGTTTTATTTTTCCAGGTGGACCACAGTTGGTATTAACTTTCTCTCTATGATTAGTATGATCGTATTTACAGTGGTGCTTCTCTACTCTGGGAGAATATGGGCAGTCTTCATGGCAGCTTTCTTATTGGGGTAAAGTACTTCAAATTGTTTCATGTTATTTATCAATGGCTATATATTCGAGTAGCTTGACTTGTTCATCTCTACATATACTGATACGGAATGACATTCTCGTGTTTTCATATAAAAATTGTCTCATATTCTTTATGACTAGCGATATACAAAACAGAGTGTGAACTTCTCATGGTTTCGCACATTTCCAGATTCTTCATGACTGGCTGTATACAAAAGAAAGAATTTTTCATGGTTTCTCACATTTCCAGAATCTTTATGACTGGCTACATACTACCAGTAGGGTATGAGTTTGTCATGGTTTCTCATATTTCCAGTAGGGTATGAGTTTCTCATGGTTTCTCATATTTCCAGTAGGGTATGAGTTTCTCATGGTTCTCACATTTCCAGATTCTTTATGACTGGCTACATACCAGTAGGGTATGAGTTTGTCATGGTTTCTCACATATCCAGATTATTTGTGACTGGCTACATACCAGTAGGGTATGAGTTTGTCATGGTTTCTCACATTTCCAGATTCTTTATGACTGGCTATATACCAGTAGGGTACGAGTTTGTCATGGTTTCTCACATTTCCAGATTCTTTATGACTGGCTATATACCATGGCCAGTAGGGTATGAGTTTGTCATGGTTTCTCACATTTCCAGATTATTTATGACTGGCTACATACCAGTAGGGTATGAGTTTGTCATGGTTTCTCACATTTCCAGATTATTTATGACTGGCTACATACCAGTAGGGTATGAGTTTGTCATGGTTTCTCACATTTCCAGATTCTTTATGACTGGCTATATACCAGTAGGGTACGAGTTTGCAGTTGAGATCACTTATCCAGAACCAGAGGGTACATCTGCAGGCATTCTCAACTTTTCAGCACAGGTATATTATATCTTTGTATATTTCTAATCTATTCGCGATCGCTTTATAATACTAAAGCCAGAGTGGCTCTTCCACAAATAAGATCGCACCATCGATGTAAGTTTAATATGGCTCTGCCACAAATACGATCATCCCATAGATGTAAGTTTATGAAACATAACTCGAATTTTACTACGAATCTGGCTTCTTAGATACTAATCGATAGTCAGTTTAGGTTAGTCAAAGTGAAATGCTGTTTTTAATTCAAAACTTCAAATTCTTTTTGTTCATATGGTTTATAGGCTTAGAGTTATTTTATTTTAATGCTGCAATTCATGCATTCTCAAATTCTTGAATGATTTTTCCAATTCATACTTTCCAAAATTTCAGATATTTGGTGTATTATTGACGCTGTTAATGAGTGCTTTGATGACAAAAGTGAGCACATTGGTTGCATGTTTGACCCTGGCTAGTGCCTTACTGGTTGGAACCATCCTAACATTATTAATACAATCAGAGCTGAAGCGACAGAAGGTGGAACAGGTGAGAGTGTACACTCCCCTCCATAAGTTTGGCAACCTTTTTTCTCCATTGAACTACGTGTTGAAGTCTCTTTACGTTTGAATTTTTATTTACTTAACCGGCGATGAAATAACTTATAATATTGATGGAAACGTAACTTGACTTTATTTCCAATACCTCCAAATTTTCTCCACTTTTTTCCTCAATTCCAGTAGGTCGAAAATTGATGATAAATTTGATGAATTTTGAAAATCGTCATTCCCATGTAATCCAATGGGAAGTGGAGGGTTCGGGGCAAATCAGAAATCAGGATATCTTTTCAGTAAAAGATTCAACAAAAAATATTTTTATATAGAAAATTGAATTGTCTAACTTTTTTGAACACTAAGTGTTTAGTTTATTTGATGAATATTAAAGTAACAGCGCTTCAAAGTCATTTTTGAAAAGAATTTTCGCCTCCTGTGTTATTTCAATGGGAGGGTTTTTTTAAAAAACAATTTTGACTTTAACTTTATTGAACCTGAAGAAACATATCAATTTTTTGTTAAATTAAGTTAGCAAATTCAATTACCTGCCTAACTCGTATTTTTTGCAAGGACTCGGATGGATGAATATTCTGTCATATGACTTGCGGCAAACCTACCATTTCCCAATGGTCAACATGGGAATGTCGATTTTCCAAAAATCATCAAATCCATCATCAATTTTCGACCTACTGTAATTGAGGAAAAAAATTGAGAAAATTTGGAGGTATTGGAATTAAAGTCAAATTACGTTTCCATCAATAGTATAAGTATTTTCATCGCAGGTTAAGTAAATAAAAATTCAAAGGTAAAGAGGCTTTAACACGTAGTTCAATGGGGGGAAAAAGGTTGCCAAACTTATGGAGGGGAGTGTAACTACAGTAAACCCCTTATAAGTGGAAAATCTCTAAATAGTGTTCCACTTGGGAGGTGCTACTTACAATACCCTTTCGTTCAACTTCCCTTCTTAAAACAGAGCTTTGTCTCCACGAATTAGTTTATAACTAGACTTTGCGCGCAGTTTTTACTTTCAAAGACTAACTTTATATTGTCTTGATGGGCAGTCACGATGCTACATACATAAAGTATAAAACAGTCTTTGTGCTGATGATTTATGGTTTATTTTCTCATCTTCTAGCATCAATTTTTCGTATTTGGCAGAAGAAAACATGACTTTTAAGGAGCTCAATGTTTAATAGTTCGGGTTTGCTTGCTTTTGACACTGATTTTTCTGTTCCCTAATGATAAAGTGCACTGTTATTGTATATTCGCATTTTTAACGTTTTTATTTTCGTTGAAGAGACCATTTAATCCCATCAAAGGCAAAGTTTGCAAATTTATTGTTTAAATAGCATTTTTCTTATCTTTGAAATTGTTTGAGAGATTTGTTTGAAAAAAGTTGTTGGTTTTATAATTTTAAAATATTTGAGTTTCCCTCCATTTTAGCAAATAAATAAACATAAACTGGAAACAGATTACTCTATCCACACATAATTATGTTTTTTATAGAATTAAAGTAACTGATATTTTCATTCCAGATCTACAAAGATACAGGCGAACTTGAGAATTTGAATCTAAACACACATCACCATCCCACAATTCATGAATCTCATGCATAGAAATAATGGGAATATCGTACAACGATGACAAGAACGACAACGATGACAGTCATTCATCATCGTTTATGCCTATATAACTAATGGTCTGTTTTCATCACCTAAGAGAACTAGCAAAGTTCAAGATTTGGAAAACTGTGTAATATTAAATGATTAAGATCTTAGAAAATCAAATGCTTTTCCACTTCTCTCAAGTATTAACAAGGACATAAACGATATTGACATTTTATTGACGGGACGTTCAACTGACTCGACTAACATGTTGGAATATAAATCATCCTAATACTCATAGCATCTTTCTATCTCACCAGAAATGTCCCGGGGCTGGGAAGAAATGAGATGTCCTGGTTTATCATGATGAATATTAATATGATATAATTTACCTTGATATTTGAAACTTCTGTCTCCCATTCCAAACAAAAAATGAAAATTAATTAATGTTCAATAAATCAACCTCAAAAATTACGGGCTGATAAATTAAAATTAATAGGTTAATCTGGTAGCAGACAGTCGAAAGTTTCATTCTTGAATACAGACTAAAAAAGTCAGTACGTCATTCACCTGTGTGTACACTCCCCTCCATAAGTTTGGCAACCTTAGCTCCCCCATTGAACTACGTGTTAAAGCCTCCTTACTTTTGAATTTTTATTTACTTAACCTGCAATGAAAATACTTATAAATACTATTGATGGAAACGCAATTTGACTTCATTTTCAATACCTCCAAATTTTCTCAATTTTTTCCTCAGTTACAATTAGTCGAAAATTGATGATAAATTGATGAATTTTTGAAAATCGACATTCCCATGTTAACAAATGAGAAATGGTAGGTTTGCCGCAAGTCATGTGAGAGAATGTCCATCCATCCGAGTTCTTGCAAAAAAATACGAGTTGGGCAGGCAATCGAATTTATTAACTTTATTTAACAAGAAATTGATATGTTTCTTCAGAATCGGTAAAGTTATAGGGCTTTAAATTCAAAATTGTTTTTCAAAAAAACCCTCCCATTGAAATAACAAAGGAGGCGAAAAGTTATTTTTAAAATGACTGAAGCGCTGTAACCTTAGTATCCATCAAATAAACTAAAAACTTAGTGTACAAAAAAGTTAGACAATTAAATTTTCTATGCAACAATATTTTTTGCTGAATCTTTTACTGAAAAGATAATTTGATTTCTGATTTGCCATGAACCCTCCATTTCCCATTGGATTACATGGGAATGACGATTTTTAAAAATTCATCAAATTTGTCATTAATTTTCGACCTATTGTATTCGAAGAAAAATTTGAGAAAATATCAAGGTATTGGAAATAAAGTCAAGTTGCGTTTCAAACGTAAAGAGGCTTTAACACGTAGCTCAATGGGGGAGATAAGGTTGCCAAAATTATGGAGGGGAGTGTATGTTATTGGCCAATTAGGCTTTCCAATGCCTTGTATGCGATTTAAACCACCTGAACCAGAAAAAGAGAGTATGTATCTAGAAATTTGGTATATACTCTTTCTAAAGTGTCACACCGGAATAGCCTGACAATGGTGAAGTCAGATGCCGTTGTCACAAATGGTGGACATAACCGTCGCTTCAATTAGATTTTCATGAACTGGATGTTTAATAGAGCACCTAGACTAAATTCATTTGGAACAACAATCAATCAAAGTGGTTTTATACTAATTGTACAGTTATCAATGTTCTACCATCGAAATAAAGTCTTTAATTTAACCGAACAAAATGAGAACAGGACAACGGATACGGTATTGTTACCATAATCCGTTGTCTTTGTAAATTATTTCAAATTCAGATTCGAAGACGCTATATTTTGGCGATTCACGACCCAATTTGATCGAAATTGGGATTTCATATGATACATCAGTCACATTTAAATGCCTCTGGATACATTATCAGGTTGATGATGAAAAAATTCATATTTTTTTTTAATTTGAAGTGTGACCTGAATCGATTGCAAACTTCATATTTGCACATCTAATGTGATATACCATTTGTGTCATATTGTGAAATTATTTAATTTGCAATTTGCAGGTCATAGTGTATTTTTAGGTATTTTTGTGAAAATCAATAGAAACCAATGCCCACCATTGAAATCTGATGATATCCAAATGTTAAGTCTGCAATGGAGCGCATCCAATGTCAAGTCGATACACCCTTGCTGAACTTGATGATCTCAACCTCAGCCCATGCGGGTCCTAATGCCTAAATAATTTAATTTATTAATTAACTTCGAGAGGACGGATAACATCACATTTTCCAAAGTATTATGTGACGTTGTATTCTTTATGTTACACCAAAATATGATTCATTTGTTCATTGGGAAATCATAATGGAGAGTGCACTAGACTCTTTTCACTTTACTTGACATAATACACAATAACTGATTCAACCACTGACATGTTAGTTATTATGGATAATAGTTGACTATTAGACATTAACAAGTCACTTTAATTGTCACGTCAGAGGCTTGTGAAAGCAGTGATGAAATGGTCATGCTGTCATAGATTCCTGGGGTAAATGTCTAATAATATATTTGTATTTTATTCAGAAGAATAAATTTGAAAATTGTTGACCTAAACCAAGAGCGTATTCCAAGACAGATCCCAGAGATGAAACTATTGTGTTTATATATATAAATACTGTATATAAGCTTCGCTGGCTTCAAAGAGAAGCCAATGGTAGCTTCAAGTTCAAACAGTACTATCTGGCCTCTTATAGGGTAATCATTTATTTATAAATCCGTTGTCGCGTGCACGTATAGGTTATCTAACAAAAGGTGTCACTCCAACAATATGAGACTGTTGTTGATGACCCTTAACAGACTACAATGTACTCATCATTCCTGATCTTATTAATGATGCTTGACTGACACCAAAACGCGATAGAACTATGACCGAGCGATAGTAAATAATTAGACTTGATGCGATAGGGCGAGAAACGTACGAACAGATGCTGAACGATGATCGTCATCACGTATCTCTTCAATCTATCGTTCTCTCTTTTTATGTATTTTGGCAATGCAGTCGAAATTAAACAACAGATGTACACCAAAGTTGCTAATTTCGAGAGGACGGATAACATCACAAAAACTGTTGGTTCCACGACCGCAATTGGATGTGCGACCCTATGTTTGTCCAGCTGCGAGATATGTAAATCGTACAATCTCCGGAGAGTTGAAGGCAGCGATGTGAAAGTCTGTGAGTTGAATGGAGAGAGCGTCGGTGAACCTGTTGAAAGTGTTCTAAGGGACCATTATTATCCAACACTTGGTGAGATATTTGTACATATTAATTCAAAATATACAATGTAGATCTACTTATTGTGGACGATGTCCGTCGTCCGTGACAACTTCTAACATACCCAGTACATTTCAAGTAAAAATAAAAATCGGCAAATTTGTATTTTAAATCGGGAAAAATCTGGATATTTTATAAATGAATTGGGAGAAAATTCCGAGAGATTCCTGAAATGAAATCGGGAGAAAAATTGGGGTTGCAAAAACTAAATCAGCAATTAGAAAAGATCGGGTGTAAAATCGGGGTTTGCAATAAAAAGGTCGGAGAAAATAGGGATTGGTAACCCTACTATCACACCAAACTAGTTCTCAATACGTTCTCAGAAACGGGCCTAAACTGTACAAAAGGATTGGACGTAAAAAGTTTCTTACCCTTGGCTCTAGATTTTATAAAAATGAGAGGAATAGGATGCTCAAGCTTTAACACGAGACAAGGTACTTAGATTACTTGAAACTGTATGAGTTTCATACAAATTGGTTTATTGGTAGTCACACAGAGCCAATACATGTTTTCAATAATTGATAAGTTATGTGGAGCAGCGTTATTCTAAAAGAAAATCTGCTAAGCTGCGGTTCTAGAAAGGGTCTAGTGCAATTTCCATTATGATCACCCCATGAACAAAACGAATCATTTTTAGGTGTAACATAAAGAATACAATGTCACATAATACTTTGGAAAATATTTTAGCGCTTGGACCAACATGGGCTGAGGTTGAGGTCATTAAGTTCAGCAAGGGTGTATTGACTTGACATTGAATGTGCCCCCATTGACTTAACATGCGGATATCATCAGATTCCAATGGAGGCCATTGGTTTCTATTGATTTTCACTAAAGTACCTAAAATACACTATGACCTGAATCGATTGCAAATTAAATAATTTCGCAATATGACACAAATGGTATATCAAATCAGATGTGCAAATATAAAGTTTGCAATCGATTCAGGTCATTCTTCAAATTAAAAGATTATACATTTTTCATCATTTTTTCTTACAAAATGACTATAGAAAAATGCTTCGAAAGCAACTTTTGCACTTATGAAATTCCAAGCAACTTTGTAAATTTAAAGATTATACTGTTAAGTTTCATTAATGAAAACCATATTTGGATAAGATGTAGGGATGTGTAGGATGCAAATGGATTTTGACAGACACAAAAAGACTTCCTGGTTTGGCATCTCTACCCCTGTACACTTTATGATTGAATATTGGCCCTAATAAGTGGCCCATTCATCGATACAGTGCTGAATATAGGTCAACAAAAGCAGTATATTTATTTTGAAAAATCAGATGAATTTATTTTTGTTCATGGGGAGATCATATTGGAGGGCGCACTAGATCCTTTCTAAACACTGAGTGGTGTCATCTGTCAACAGACTTAGTCTAACTGTAGTTTAATCATGTTGAGTAAATTTTATGCTCATATTCATTCCCCTTCAAACTGTCAAAATAATCACCCCAGCTGCAATGCACCTCCTACATCTGTCCACCCAATCCAAAAACACATGTTTAAGGCCTCCTTATGAGAGGTTGTAAATTCTGTTGGTAAAGGACCGCGAGTTGTTTGTAGAATGCATCGGGGTTGTTTTTTGCTTATATTACAAGCCAATGAGATGTGTATTAATGATTAACTTTCCTGTTAACTCAAAATCTGCTTGGAACTATACCATTGGAAATTCCTCAAGAGAAAATTCTTGGGATTAAGGAAGGGGTACCATTTACACAATTTGAGAAATAATTGGCATTCATGAAACCTATTTAAAACAGCATTAATATTATTCTAAAGTGATCGTACGATTCCCAGCTCTCTGAAGTCTGAAAAATAACAATACCTGGGGGTTAATCCATAGATAATCCTTGAAAATGAGAAACATTTTTTAGGAATGTATGGTCCATATTAAAGTCAATGAAATGTTTTAAAGTGTATTGACGCTTTTTAGATGAAAAACACAAGCGAAATGCATGAACAAGCTCTCCAGATTATTCTACAAACAACTCGCGGTCCTTTCCAGAATCGCAAATTAGCAGATATTTTTTAAATAACGCTGCTCCACCTAATTCAATCATTGAAACTATGTATTGACTTCGTGTCACTACCAACGAATCAATGTGTATGAGACTCATACCACTTGGTAACACCCCAGTCACATTTGTCGTACGGAGGGCGTGGGGTTTACGAAAAACACCGACCGCCGACCACCGACCAGTCACTCTCCACAGTTGGGTACATGTGGTCGGTGGTCGGCTGACGGTCTTTTTCATAAAAATGAAAAAATGCAAAATTAGAAGT